TTTTTTTTTTTTTTTTTTTTTTTTTTTTGATAAAATAAAGGCAGGTTAAACTTGCCATTAACTCAGAAGAAACTTTATCCCATCTTTTTTGGATCTTCTCATTTTTTTTCATCATCCTTACGATTAGTCTTTACGACAGCAGCTTTTTTAAGAGAAAAGTGCTCTACCTAACTTTTTATCTTATCCGATTTTCTTAAAGGAAGATCCCTTTCGTTCGCGGTTCCTTAATAAATCGCTATCTAATTGCGTCGTCTTATACAATGCATGTTTTATCAGCAAAGGATTCCGCCAGAAATTTTCCTTATCGTCGAAGGTTAATTATTATACTTTCCTCGATATACTTTATGAAGACAATCGAACACATAAAATACAAAGAAGATATTTATTACGTATTTTAGAGCTACCTTCGAGCATCAACGCGTACAACAAAAGATAGCAGAGAATATAAATATTTTTAAATACAAATAGAAAAACAACATGTACGTTTATTAAAAAAAGACTGAAAGGAAAACGAATAAAATAAGGAATAATATAAATAAACATGCACGTTTATTCCATATGACGTAAAGTCATTAAGCTGCGAGCTACATATAATATATAAAGATAAGTTTTTGTCATTCGATTGAAATTTCTTCGAAATGACATGACTTAATTCCTTGTCTGAGAGACAACAGACGTAACCCGAATCGAGAACATGGAAAAGAGAAACCGGGAACAACACTAGGGTATTCACTTTGTTACTCGCAGTTAACGGGAAATAGGTGGCACGGATGGAGACGCTTTACGATCCGTGGAAACTTCGTAATAGTACCGTACCGTTACGACCTTCCGCCCTCCGTTTCAATAAACTAATTGAACCTAAAACTTCTCAAAGCCACGTAAAGTCCTAGTCGGACAATATTCATCCAGCATCATAAAATACCACGTAGAGTTCAAGCTAAAGTTACCTTAGTGACATTTATTAGAAAATTATTATGGACAAGCATTTAAAGTAATATTCGTATGTCTTACTCATGAAAGTTGATGAACATAAGTGTACTACTATGTTATTATGTTATTGTGAAAACTAGTATTGAAGGAGTTTAAACGCGTCTATCTAATCTAAAGATTTCATGTTAAATCCTTGTTATAGGAAATGGAGAAATATGAGAATTTCTAAAATATCAAAAAAAAAAGAGAATGAGACTGATATAAATTTGCTTTTCATCCAAGGATTACATAATGTCTTTAATAAAGGAGCTTTAATGAACTGGTTATATTACGGAAATACAAATGCATTATTGAGACAATGAAATTACCTTTAATCAGCTGGAAAGCTTTAGAGAGAAATTTAGGATACTGTAGCAAGGGTTGGATTTTCACACTTTCACATTAACTCGTACAACCCGACCGGCTGTTGGGATAGAAAGTTTCTACACTATTCGCGAGTTGAGCCGAAAACGTTATCTCGTCGATGTTGCATTACCGGAAGTTAAGCTTAAGCCATTCGAATCCCGTATGGATCATATATGGATCATACAAGTTTATCAGTTACCCGAATGCTTTTAAAACATATGAAACTAATATAATGAAAATAATTTTGTGTGATAACGACGCGATCAATACGCAACATAGGGGTCTTTTTATCAATCTTTTCTTGAAATAATTAATTATTATGCCGGTAAAATATTCAATTCTTTATAAAAATACATACATTTAATTCTGTTCACACATACTTGTTTGTATGCAAAATGCAAATATACGCACTTTTGGAATGCCATATCGACGTTTACCGAGGTAATGCGACAAGAACTTGACGGACGTTCGTGGCGGAAATATTACGTCGTCAATGCCGCATTAAGACGTGATAAGTTTAAGTTGGGATCCAATTTGAATCTCCGACAGCTTGTTATCTCGGTTGTGAGCGCGACTTTGGCGCAGATTTAGCATTCGCCAACTTTGGAACGAGCTAACTCAAAAGCGCGTTCCGCGGAATCGTTCGGCGGTATCCACCACAAATTCTACATTCCGCGCACGTATCAACTCATGAAAGTCCCACATACCAGAAACGTTACATGGATGCACGATGGGGAAAAAATTCTCTTGAAAAGTTTTTTAAATTACGCATTGTCAGTTTATAACACGCACTTATGCAAGCATCAAGTGAATAAATTATATTGACGTACATAATTAACTGTAATACGCATGGGTATAAAAATATTATTATATAAAATATGTAAAATTTCACATATATAAAAAATATACATACATTTTATAATTTTAGAAAAATTATATATACATTTATTTTTTATGTATGTATTATATTATACATATATATACATATATGATAGAAACCAATGGAATCTCAAACATAAACTAGGAATTAATTTCACAAAAATAGCAAATAAATTATATAAATTATAAATTGTTTATCTCCTACGGGAAGAATTGCTTTGCTGTCATCGAATGCTTCGTCACGAACCTCCTCTTCTCTTCTCGCTTGTTTATTCTTCTCTACTTCCTCATGATACTCACGCGGCACTCATTCGCGAAAACATCGTTATTTGCTATCGTGCACGCATAATTAACTCAACAGAATTATAGCGTAGCACTTTGTACGGCACTCCCGATATTTCTCCACAATTGCGCGAAAGTTAATTAATTGCGCGAATTGATAATCTCGAATTGTGGTGTGTAATAATCGTAAGAAATAAGCGTATTTATCATTTTTTAATACTTTGCGATCGTATTTCGAGAGACGACACCATACACAACGCTTTCTGCTCGCTCGAGTCTCGTTGTGTGGTTGATAACAAGAGATGCAAATTACGTATAAAAAAGTTTTCAAATCTTATAAGCATTAGTAAAATAATATAAGAATTATTACGATCAAAAATTATAATTTTCTAAAAGTATATTTTGAATTGTATCTTTTAGATATATTTTTAATGTTGCATTCTGCAAAAAAAAAAAAAAGATTTTAGCATAGATAGAAAATCTAATAGCAGAAATATGTCATCCAAGATAAGTTTTAACTTCCAACTTTCGGAATTCTATTACTCGTATATTAAGCTTTATTATACCGTACACAGGTCCACTGTAGGATAGCATGTTGAGTTGGCAGCATCGCGTTACTTTACTCAAGCCAACCCGTATACTGTTTCAGGCTTTGGTGTACCGAGACGGCAACCTCGTCTCAGGCTCACTTGAGGCGTTGGTACAGCATATGGTGCCTACGGAGGAATATTATCCCGATCGAGCGTACCTCTTCGCCTTTTTGCTGAGCGCCAGGCTCTTCATCAAGCCGCACGAGCTTTTGGGCGAGGTTTGCGCTCTCTGCGAGCATCAGCAAAATCTGAATGGAGAGGGCGGTAAGGTGAGCACATCGTGGATATACTTTCGATTTACGAACCGACACGAAACCTTTGCTCGAGACGATGCATCCACGAAGGCCGCGTGTATTATCGTTTCATCACGGGGTCATGCATTCTCGTCTGTTCCCACCCTTCTCTTATTTCGTTCCTTCACCTATCGCAAAATATAAAGAGCGCAAAAACTTTCTTTGCTTTTCTCATAATCTCTATCTATCTAGTATCTTACGTCTGACATGAGTGAAACAAATCATTCCCTTTAACTTTACAGAAAATTATTTATCATCAAGATCCCACTCTTTCTTTTTCGTTATCTTACTTTCTTATCATATTCTTGCGGATATTAAAATATCTTAATGTAATATATAAATCGCGTTATTTTTTTGCTTTTATGAGTCAGTGCGATATATTATAAGAGTTTCAAAACTGTCACTCTGGAACTATTCTTTATTCATATCGCAAAATATTGATCCCACAATACATTTACTTAATTTAATTTATTCGATTCACAACTATATAACAATAATACAGTTGCAAAGTGAAAACATTCGTTTCCATCACTTTATCCATTTATTCTGTGAAATTTTTATCCCTTGAAAGAAAAATTTATCTTTGTCATTGAAAAACGATAAAATATTCCGTATATATTTCAGGAACGACTGCATCGCTTCGTGCCGCGACTAGTGCAGCTGCTGGCGGAATGGACGGAAACATTCCCGTACGACTTTCGAGACGAGAGGGTGATGGGTCACGTCAGATCCATCACGCAAAAAGTCGCTGCGGTCGACGCCGCGGCCAGGCAGGAAGTTTCGGCATTGCTGCAAAACTTGCTGTTACGACTGACGGCCTTGGAAAGGTACGAGGAAGGCCTGGCCAGACTGGCGACCGAGGCAGCGACGGAGCAGCTTACACAGGTTTGTGAGTTTCCGTACCAAGCTCCCATTTGCAGCCGTCAGTTTGCATCTCGCTGTCCTGCATTTTGGCTCAGTCAGTTAGTCGCTTTAGCACGATGTTTTCCGAACTATAAATATCGCGAATGTTTCTAATTCCAAAGTTCGTACATGTTGATATTTGGTCGAAGAAAAAAAAACTTTTTTTTTTTTTTTTTTTTTTTTGATAAAATAAAGGCAGGTTAAACTTGCCATTAACTCAGAAGAAACTTTATCCCATCTTTTTTGGATCTTCTCATTTTTTTTCATCATCCTTACGATTAGTCTTTACGACAGCAGCTTTTTTAAGAGAAAAGTGCTCTACCTAACTTTTTATCTTATCCGATTTTCTTAAAGGAAGATCCCTTTCGTTCGCGGTTCCTTAATAAATCGCTATCTAATTGCGTCGTCTTATACAATGCATGTTTTATCAGCAAAGGATTCCGCCAGAAATTTTCCTTATCGTCGAAGGTTAATTATTATACTTTCCTCGATATACTTTATGAAGACAATCGAACACATAAAATACAAAGAAGATATTTATTACGTATTTTAGAGCTACCTTCGAGCATCAACGCGTACAACAAAAGATAGCAGAGAATATAAATATTTTTAAATACAAATAGAAAAACAACATGTACGTTTATTAAAAAAAGACTGAAAGGAAAACGAATAAAATAAGGAATAATATAAATAAACATGCACGTTTATTCCATATGACGTAAAGTCATTAAGCTGCGAGCTACATATAATATATAAAGATAAGTTTTTGTCATTCGATTGAAATTTCTTCGAAATGACATGACTTAATTCCTTGTCTGAGAGACAACAGACGTAACCCGAATCGAGAACATGGAAAAGAGAAACCGGGAACAACACTAGGGTATTCACTTTGTTACTCGCAGTTAACGGGAAATAGGTGGCACGGATGGAGACGCTTTACGATCCGTGGAAACTTCGTAATAGTACCGTACCGTTACGACCTTCCGCCCTCCGTTTCAATAAACTAATTGAACCTAAAACTTCTCAAAGCCACGTAAAGTCCTAGTCGGACAATATTCATCCAGCATCATAAAATACCACGTAGAGTTCAAGCTAAAGTTACCTTAGTGACATTTATTAGAAAATTATTATGGACAAGCATTTAAAGTAATATTCGTATGTCTTACTCATGAAAGTTGATGAACATAAGTGTACTACTATGTTATTATGTTATTGTGAAAACTAGTATTGAAGGAGTTTAAACGCGTCTATCTAATCTAAAGATTTCATGTTAAATCCTTGTTATAGGAAATGGAGAAATATGAGAATTTCTAAAATATCAAAAAAAAAAGAGAATGAGACTGATATAAATTTGCTTTTCATCCAAGGATTACATAATGTCTTTAATAAAGGAGCTTTAATGAACTGGTTATATTACGGAAATACAAATGCATTATTGAGACAATGAAATTACCTTTAATCAGCTGGAAAGCTTTAGAGAGAAATTTAGGATACTGTAGCAAGGGTTGGATTTTCACACTTTCACATTAACTCGTACAACCCGACCGGCTGTTGGGATAGAAAGTTTCTACACTATTCGCGAGTTGAGCCGAAAACGTTATCTCGTCGATGTTGCATTACCGGAAGTTAAGCTTAAGCCATTCGAATCCCGTATGGATCATATATGGATCATACAAGTTTATCAGTTACCCGAATGCTTTTAAAACATATGAAACTAATATAATGAAAATAATTTTGTGTGATAACGACGCGATCAATACGCAACATAGGGGTCTTTTTATCAATCTTTTCTTGAAATAATTAATTATTATGCCGGTAAAATATTCAATTCTTTATAAAAATACATACATTTAATTCTGTTCACACATACTTGTTTGTATGCAAAATGCAAATATACGCACTTTTGGAATGCCATATCGACGTTTACCGAGGTAATGCGACAAGAACTTGACGGACGTTCGTGGCGGAAATATTACCTCGTCAATGCCGCATTAAGACGTGATAAGTTTAAGTTGGGATCCAATTTGAATCTCCGACAGCTTGTTATCTCGGTTGTGAGCGCGACTTTGGCGCAGATTTAGCATTCGCCAACTTTGGAACGAGCTAACTCAAAAGCGCGTTCCGCGGAATCGTTCGGCGGTATCCACCACAAATTCTACATTCCGCGCACGTATCAACTCATGAAAGTCCCACATACCAGAAACGTTACATGGATGCACGATGGGGAAAAAATTCTCTTGAAAAGTTTTTTAAATTACGCATTGTCAGTTTATAACACGCACTTATGCAAGCATCAAGTGAATAAATTATATTGACGTACATAATTAACTGTAATACGCATGGGTATAAAAATATTATTATATAAAATATGTAAAATTTCACATATATAAAAAATATACATACATTTTATAATTTTAGAAAAATTATATATACATTTATTTTTTATGTATGTATTATATTATACATATATATACATATATGATAGAAACCAATGGAATCTCAAACATAAACTAGGAATTAATTTCACAAAAATAGCAAATAAATTATATAAATTATAAATTGTTTATCTCCTACGGGAAGAATTGCTTTGCTGTCATCGAATGCTTCGTCACGAACCTCCTCTTCTCTTCTCGCTTGTTTATTCTTCTCTACTTCCTCATGATACTCACGCGGCACTCATTCGCGAAAACATCGTTATTTGCTATCGTGCACGCATAATTAACTCAACAGAATTATAGCGTAGCACTTTGTACGGGCACTCCCGATATTTCTCCACAATTGCGCGAAAGTTAATTAATTGCGCGAATTGATAATCTCGAATTGTGGTGTGTAATAATCGTAAGAAATAAGCGTATTTATCATTTTTTAATACTTTGCGATCGTATTTCGAGAGACGACACCATACACAACGCTTTCTGCTCGCTCGAGTCTCGTTGTGTGGTTGATAACAAGAGATGCAAATTACGTATAAAAAAGTTTTCAAATCTTATAAGCATTAGTAAAATAATATAAGAATTATTACGATCAAAAATTATAATTTTCTAAAAGTATATTTTGAATTGTATCTTTTAGATATATTTTTAATGTTGCATTCTGCAAAAAAAAAAAAAAGATTTTAGCATAGATAGAAAATCTAATAGCAGAAATATGTCATCCAAGATAAGTTTTAACTTCCAACTTTCGGAATTCTATTACTCGTATATTAAGCTTTATTATACCGTACACAGGTCCACTGTAGGATAGCATGTTGAGTTGGCAGCATCGCGTTACTTTACTCAAGCCAACCCGTATACTGTTTCAGGCTTTGGTGTATCGAGACGGCAACCTCGTCTCAGGCTCACTTGAGGCGTTGGTACAGCATATGGTGCCTACGGAGGAATATTATCCCGATCGAGCGTACCTCTTCGCCTTTTTGCTGAGCGCCAGGCTCTTCATCAAGCCGCACGAGCTTTTGGGCGAGGTTTGCGCTCTCTGCGAGCATCAGCAAAATCTGAATGGAGAGGGCGGTAAGGTGAGCACATCGTGGATATACTTTCGATTTACGAACCGACACGAAACCTTTGCTCGAGACGATGCATCCACGAAGGCCGCGTGTATTATCGTTTCATCACGGGGTCATGCATTCTCGTCTGTTCCCACCCTTCTCTTATTTCGTTCCTTCACCTATCGCAAAATATAAAGAGCGCAAAAACTTTCTTTGCTTTTCTCATAATCTCTATCTATCTAGTATCTTACGTCTGACATGAGTGAAACAAATCATTCCCTTTAACTTTACAGAAAATTATTTATCATCAAGATCCCACTCTTTCTTTTTCGTTATCTTACTTTCTTATCATATTCTTGCGGATATTAAAATATCTTAATGTAATATATAAATCGCGTTATTTTTTTGCTTTTATGAGTCAGTGCGATATATTATAAGAGTTTCAAAACTGTCACTCTGGAACTATTCTTTATTCATATCGCAAAATATTGATCCCACAATACATTTACTTAATTTAATTTATTCGATTCACAACTATATAACAATAATACAGTTGCAAAGTGAAAACATTCGTTTCCATCACTTTATCCATTTATTCTGTGAAATTTTTATCCCTTGAAAGAAAAATTTATCTTTGTCATTGAAAAACGATAAAATATTCCGTATATATTTCAGGAACGACTGCATCGCTTCGTGCCGCGACTAGTGCAGCTGCTGGCGGAATGGACGGAAACATTCCCGTACGACTTTCGAGACGAGAGGGTGATGGGTCACGTCAGATCCATCACGCAAAAAGTCGCTGCGGTCGACGCCGCGGCCAGGCAGGAAGTTTCGGCATTGCTGCAAAACTTGCTGTTACGACTGACGGCCTTGGAAAGGTACGAGGAAGGCCTGGCCAGACTGGCGACCGAGGCAGCGACGGAGCAGCTTACACAGGTTTGTGAGTTTCCGTACCAAGCTCCCATTTGCAGCCGTCAGTTTGCATCTCGCTGTCCTGCATTTTGGCTCAGTCAGTTAGTCGCTTTAGCACGATGTTTTCCGAACTATAAATATCGCGAATGTTTCTAATTCCAAAGTTCGTACATGTTGATATTTGGTCGAAGAAAAAAAAAACGCCTTGGAAAAGCAACAAAGTCTATCTGAATAATAAAAACGCAATTTGATGATGTAAAGTTTAGCAATTTCCACTTCTTTCGCAGAAGAACTAATTTAAAAAACACGTTTATAGATTCACATGAATCACATGAATTCACATGATTCACATGATTCACATAAATCACATCTGGTATCAACAATGAAAATTTACATAATGTCCTATTATAAATTAAGATGGGTAACACCCCTCCGATTTTATTGCTACTTAAATATGTTGTAGGGGAGATTCTTCTGAATAATTCCCCACAAGAAATTTGTGGGGGACAGCATTAATTTAGGAGATATAACTAATTAAAGTTTTATAGTTTTAATGCTTTTTCTATTATAAAATAAGGAAAAATAAAGTTTATTCACGTTATATTTGTGTAGAGCAGACGTGGAAAAAGTGTTTGTTTACATTTACGGGATAGGTATACACTCATGGATACTTTGTTAATAATGTGTTTCAGCTATTTCTCGCAGTTCGCTAAAAGCTTTCAACATACGACTATACAAATTTCTAAGTCTTGTTGAAGGTAGGAATAAGTTAATAGTAAATTTTAATTTTAAATCAAAAATAGATATCGGTTAGATTATATCCTCCGGAAGTGGAGCCCCTCTGGGGGGTGGGGGAGGCGTAAAGCACGCATTCAATAAATAATATTTTTGAAGACATGACTCTCAGGAATTCATGTAGTCGCATGTTGAAAGCTGTTAACGAACTGCGAGAAATAGGTGAAACACATTATTGACAAAATATCCATAACCGTGTACCTATTCCATGAATGTAAACAAACACTTTTTCGCCTGCTCTACAACAAATACAACGTACACAAACTTTACTTTTACTAATATTATTTTATAATACCTGAGAAAAAGCATTAAAACTGTGAAACTTCAATTTGTTATATCTCCTAAACCAATGTCGTCTTCCACTTATTTCTTGCGGGAAATTACTCAGAAAAACTTTTCCTATCACATATTTAAGTGGCGATTAAACCGGAGGTGTGTTATCTTTTATGCAATTTTACCAAAAAAAGTTATTTTTAAGCTTTTTTACGTGCAATATCTCTAATCTTATTTTGAACTTTAAACTTTCAAATTTATTTATATATTTTTTTTTTCAATTCGGCTCTCATGGGTTTTGTTTATAATAAACAATTCAAAATTTTTGCCCAAAAATTATTTTGTATTTTAAATTGTATTTTAAACAACTTTTGAAATACTAATATAACATAATATCAGTGAGAGATTGAGCAAATCTATGCTGAACTTATGTACACAATAATTCTGCCATGAATACGAAATAACTGTTACTTACGTGCGGGACCAGAATAAAATTAGGTATTCGAGGGTAAAACGAAAATGTCCATTAAACCCGTGAAATAGAATTTCTGGCGAGTTCGTTCCAAAGAATATTAAAGCGACCACGGTTATTTGCTGACTGTGTGATAAATGTCGCGTCAAAATTTCTACAAGAAAATAAGGCAATTTCGCAATATATGAAAACGCAGCTTTCCCATAAACTCCTGATATATTCATAGACATCGATTTATATTAAAAAATCGTTAAATATATACGATAATAATTTACCTTAATCTTTGCGATATTATTTTCTGCTGTATACTCATTGAAATTTTGACATGAATTTAATCCTTGTTCTCTCTAACTATACACTTACGATATTTTGTTAAAATCTGTTTATCGTTACATCAAAGACTTTTGTATGTGAAGAAAAGCCACGGAGGCCATTTCGTATATATATATATATATATATATATATATTTAATAATTAAAAGTTAAAAAACACGAGTATAATGTTGATTACGCGCTATGGTATTCAAAAAAGGTTCTCAAGGATATCATTTAGAATGTAAAAAAAATTGAAATCATTTTCGATTTATTCCAAATTTAATGCAATTTTTCTATTCTTACTAAAATATAATAATTTCATCACGTGATGAGATAATAGCAGAGGAAACTCGCCACTCGATGCAAGAAATCTCTCGTGAATCTCGCAATGCGATCTTGCGTGCAGCAAAGTGAAACTACACTTACCTAATATCTCGCAGCAACGTTTCTTTGGGCATTGCGCAGGATATTATCGCTCCCGGCAAATTTCCAAGCAACTCGCAACTTTACCTCGGTCCGAGACCGTCACTAACCGATTAGGTCTTTTCAACGACTTTGCCCCAGTAAACCACTACGAACTAACTCTGGCCTGTACTCATTTCATTATCGTAATTGGCCGCAGAAGCGAAACAAAGTATTGCTCGATAACTGATGAAAGACGAGAACAATTTTAAATATCGGAGCTCACAAAAAATGGTGATTTTCAAATAATGGCATACCGTGGCGTTTCTTTTAATGATGTGAGCTCTTTTACAATCGGGGAATTTAATGTCAATGTTAAGTAAAATTACTTTTTTGTTCCCTCGATTGAGACTTGGGAGCAAGACAGTACAATTTAAATCATTGAGATAAAAGTTTCAACTACCCCGTAACTTCTTCGACGCAAGTTTTACCACGTTTTTTTTTTTCATTAAAATAACCATAAAACTCAGTTCCCATCACAGTTGTGCTCATTTGCTTCCTACTCATGCTCCTGTTTATTTTATTAATGACAGTACATAGAAAATTTATTTTTACGTTTTTACGCCGACAATTATGAAAAAAGAAAACGTTACTTAGAACGAAAAAATTTTACCTTTACCGCACAAAACAATTTTGCCTTTACGAGTGTGTATGTATGTGTTCTTTATCCATAAAAAAATTTTATGTTTGGATTGCTCTTTGAAATGCCATCTCAAGATGCCTTTTATTTTTTACAGTCGAAATCAGAACTTTTACCACGCGAGAACCCTTGAATTTGCTCTTTTACCAGCATTCTCGTCAAAGCAATTTCTTCTTCTCTTAGTTAAACTCTGTCCACTTCTATGCCGGGCACTTCGATAATACGATCGACGATATAATTCAATGGGAGAGGAAGTCCGTCTCAGAGTGCCATTTCCTCCTAAACGGATCACGCAGCCCAGTGATTTTATTCGTCGCCTTTCGACGACATCTTTCCTTTTCCGCCGCAGTCGAGAAATATATATATTTACCAATCCCTCATTCTCTACCACTTCTTGTAACATTCAAAAGCTGTCAAAGCTTGTGTATCCGCGTATACATACGCTCACACATTTATAAAATGAGAAAGAGTATAGAAAATGCAGCTTAGAAAATCTATGCAAGCTTCATTCTCTCTATTTCTTTTTCTATCTTTCTGTTTCTCTCTCTCTTTCTCTCTCTCTCTCTTTTTCTCTTTCTCTCTGTCACATCAGCCTTTGAGATGTTACATTGGGACGAATATCGTCGACAAATCAAATGGAATAAAGCGAGCAGGGACCAGTAAAGAAATCGAAGCTCTGAGAAGCCAAAGTCTCTCGAGAAGAAGTGGAAAAGTATAAAAGTCAAAAGCGACATATGTAAATGCCCATTTATTACAGCACTATTGCGCGACGATTTTTCTTTTTGCACATAATGCTTTGTCCTATCACGTTTCTTGCGCACTACATTTGACTTCGATGAAAGTAAGATTTAAAAATAATAAATCTCTTGACTTGTATTAATGCTACATATAGAATTAACTCTTATGATTCTTTATGCTTATATTTATCTTCATTTTTATATCATTTTTGAGATGAATTATATCAATTATTTTAAAAGAGCAATACAAGTTCTCATAATTTTTTAAAATTAAAATAGTTAACAAAGTAAAAAAAAAAGAAACTAAATCTATAGCGCTGTAACTTATGTAAACAGCATGAATCAGTATGATGTCTACGATATATATGATGCTTCTACTTAGTTATTTTGTTTGAAAATAACATTTATACTTTTGAAATAGCGCTCTTTTTAGTATTACCTAGATATTTTTCTATTTTTTGTGTTGTTTCCAATTCACAATTTTTATTTGTATCTTAACCAGGATTCTTTCTTTTTTCTTAAATACAAGAGCTTCGAACCACTTTAATACGTAAGTATTATTTTGTCTTTCAGGTGGATATTACAGAACTTTGTCCATCAGCCACTGTGCTGGCACAACAATTGACCCATGTGGAACTCGAGAGACTCTCTTACATCGGACCCGAAGAATTTGTGCAGGCCTTTGCCAAAGTGAGTTTAGTTCTAACAATTATATATCTCATTCAGCATTTTTCAAAAATGTTTTTATAACAATTTAACAACATTATTATATCGTAGACCGTTAAACACTATCATTTTAATTATCCCGTCAGGAGTCGCCGCATTTAGAAACATCCTTCAAGGATATGAAGAAAACTCGAAATCTTGAATCGTACGTTCAATGGTTTAATAGATTGAGCTACTTTGTAGCGACGGAAGTCTGCAAGGTAAATATCATCATTTTAAGAAATATTAATATTCTTTCAATATTTTAATCTTTGCAAATCTTTTGATACATTTTTTTTTTTTGTTTTGAGTAACATCTAAATAAAATCTTTCAATAAAGAAAAATCAAATCTTAAAATAAAAAAGTATTTTTCAAAACTGTTAGAAAATTTTCGTGTATGCGTGCGTGTTTGTATAGGCTTCACAATCATTTCATTTTATTCTTTTAGCATGCAAAGAAGAAGCAACGCGTTCGTGTCGTCGAATATTGGATCGAGACTGCTCGAGAATGCTTTAACATTGGCAACTTCAATTCCCTGATGGCGATCATCGCTGGCCTTAACATGTCTCCTATATCTCGCTTGAAGAAGACGGTAAGTGTGTGAAAAAAGTTCAATTGAAATTTCTTTTAACAGGTAATAATAATGCTTGTTTTATATACATATATGCAGAATAAAAAATAATAATTAGAAGAGAAGAGAGAACTATATATCTTTAATAAACCGCACATATACATATAATATACATATATTAAAGATAATAATATGTATATATGTATATATGTAACAAGTATTTTCTGCGATGGATATTGAATCGGCGCAATTGTTCAGCAAATTTTATTACGATTTTGCAGTAACAAGTTTCGCGAAAATTGCATCCGGCAAATTGAAACCAGCATCGATAGATTTTATTCGCGCGGAGGTATCCGGGGGACAATGCATGCATATATATTTCCCAATTTTTCAATCGCGCGAGAGCGTATCTGGAAAGTGCGAATATCCGCGGGACTGTTAGCGCCCCGATGCATTTTTTGCGCTAGGGTGTAGCATCGGGGAGATAATGGCGCAACGACACGACTGCTATCCCTGTTCGTTTACACCCCTTCGTAGGATTGCACGCCAGAGCAATAAACGCTCTGTAATCCTCGTAAATCGAGCGTGGTGACGCTCAACATTGAGCGTAACAAAACGCCGAAAGCCAAATTTCCGCGTCGTTTCTCCACAAAAAAAAAGAGCGAAGGAGCGAGGGCAATTTTGTTCGCACTCCTCCACATATAATCGGCTTAGTCCAAAAGACGAGCCATTAACAAAATTCTTTTGCCATTTTTAGTTGAAGGAAATTAAATTTTTTTAATTTTCGTATAATTTATACATGTATGTAACAATTAGTAAGAGTACGCGGTTGTACGCGATATTATTTTTCTCCCATCTCTCGAACGCAAAAGGAGACGTTAGAGGCAATCGTTATTGACGGAAAGAAAGGGAAAACAGAGCGATCAAATTGACTTGATTGAATTTTTCCTATTGCGGTTGACGCCGCAGGAAAGACCCGAAATGTGGCTCGTGCGATCTGGGTTAATTAAAAAGTTTCAAGTCAAACGGCGTCGCTCGGCAACGTTGTCCTCGCGTCATTGCGTTCCTTTCGTCTCGTTGGGAATTAGCTAATTGCCCGACCAGCGTTCTACGCCCACGGGAGGACTCGTGCCATTACGTATTCTCGATTTCCACGCGAATGCACTATGTCCAGGAACTCCTTTAATCCGGTCGTCGCGCTCCCGACGGAATGTTCTCTCGGATAGCACTTCCGAAAGAGCTTTCACATATATTGAATATTCATCTCAATAATAATGAAACAAAGCCCGACGAGAAAAAACTTGATTTTTAATAATTGTTGGTTGTTGTATTGTTGTGTATTATATTGTTATATATAACAGATTTATTATTTATTTATTTTATGGATCTAACAATAAGTATAGTGGATATAAATTGAAATCTGTATCTAAGAAATTCTCATAGACGTGAAGAACACACGCACATTATCTAGTTTAAATATTAATCAATGACTAATTTAATAACGTGAAAAGAAAATAATTCAACAATTTTAAATACCAATGTTAATAATAATATACTAAATGCTCGTACTACTCTCTCTGTGACAGAGATATTCGCAATGAGTTAGAAGATAATCAATCATGATTTAAAAGCGATTAATAATAATAATGATAAATAAATAAATATCAGAATTTTTCCGGTATATTCTGATATATTCTAGTATACGCGAGAGTAATGCATAATCGACTATTATGATATGCATCAATTAATTATGATTATCATAGTCCACTACTCCCGCTTAGCTAATGAGGAGCTTATTAAAGCGCGAAATGATCGACTTTAGATTTAGTAATAACAGCCCAAGGAAAATTTGGAGGGAAGAAAACAACAGCAAACCAATGTTATCTTTTGCATCTATACACACACACTATTGAGAAAATGAAAAAAGAACAAGCAATATGTCTATTTTAAACATGATATAAATCATAAATAATTTTACATACTGACATATATATGAAATATATATTTGAGAATAATACAATAAATATATATAATAGACAATTTTTGATGGTTTTATATTTTTCGGGAATTGTATTCATATATAGCAATATTTAACTCGGAAAATACAAGTAGCATTGAAACACTTGCTTTTCTTTAAATATACCATTTATTTAACATAAAATTTAGTTCTTTTTCTCTCTTATATTTACTTTTTTTGTTGTAATATATAATCAGTAATATATTTTTGAATATAATTTGTTTTATCAGAAATTGGAATAATATAGATCGTTTCACGACTTATTTTTCAGCATTAGAATATAGCGTGGAACGCCAAAAAAATGACATCAATGCAAGATACGATATCACAGCAATGGGGATTAATTTACTGAGTAAATAATCTGCAAAAGACATTTTTGCCAGTGAAAAAGATTTTTCGCTTTTCAAAAAGTTAATTATGTTTGTTCACGACTATTCGCTTTCATTCCGCGTATTCGCATCGTCATTTCATTTTATACGCTGAAAGATAATTTACGTCCGTAATCTTGCTTGCCCGATGATGAGATTCTTTTACTTAGTAAAGCAAGTGTAGAAAAGATAGCTTGAAATGGAGTTTTCTTAAGTTGCAAATCTTCAAGTAACAGTCGGGAAATGATAAGTATACAGATAAGAGAAAAAACAAGAAGAAATACTGCTGGAAAAATAATTACAAAAAAGAAAGTAACATAAAAATGTAATAGAACTCGTTATCCCTTCCCCCGCATCAGAATTTATTTCTACAGTAAACATTAAAATATTTGTTACATACAATTATATTATTCAAAATTACTTACATGCTATATTATAATTGGAATATAGATCTTTTTTTTTTTGCATATGTAAAATATTTTTGAGATTTTTTGTTATTTGATTTGATTAATTTTATTTAGTTATTCTTTTTCCGCGTAAAATTATGTCTGCTAATATCATTTTGTCCTATTTGGATAGGAATTTATCAATCGAATTTTGAAAAGTTTTTTAGATTTCCTTAATAGAGATCTTGAAAAAGCTTTCTTTGAAAGAGATTCCTGATTACTTGCATCCCTTGCATCACATATCTATTTTTTTGCTGATCTTTTTCTAAAAAGTAGATTTCGTTTCTTCCACACGCGATATTCCGGCATCTTTTCTATCGCAGCCAGTTTCAATTTACCGGATCTGGCAGGAGTCCCCGATTGCTACTGTTTTTGCTCTAGACGAGTCTTTCCGGTAGAGTCGAATCGAGTCGGACCAAGAAAAATGGCTCCCATGATAGGCAAGAGGTATTCTCTGGAGATCAGACAAGACAGAATCAAGAACCAAAGTTTCGATGAACAAAACAAAAATTTTATGAAATAGAAAATTATTTATAAAATTTAACTCTGATTTACTGATTTAATAATCTTAAATATATATTTAAAAGATGGCAGATATATGCAAAAAAGAGATGTGAATACAGAAAGAGATTCAAGCCTCAGAAAATTTATTTTAATATTTAAAAAAAAAGAAAAAGTAGACAAAATAAAGAGATTGAAGAACGATAAATCGCTATCAGTAGAGTTTGTTATAATAAATAGAGATTGAGATTAGAAGATGTAACTGCATTTCGATCGTATCTTAACTCTGAGGCTTGAATCAAATGCAAATATTATCCATCGAGTTACAAAATTCTTAAACGAACGAAGCATGCTTTTCACATCAGATTAGAATAAAGAACGGGATTGAATCGAAGGAAACTGCAAATGAACTTGAATCCTGAGATATCAGCTCAGATTTGTATCGCGCTGCGAATATTTGCTGTTGCACCTAATAAATAGGTGTCACAGCTAAGATGTTCGCTGTCCATATATTACGACTGAAATCTAGTTACTACACGCAGTTTTTAGCTACAGCAGCTAATTTTTTTTTCCGTGTTGTTACTCTACGCGCAATAATTTTGTAATAAAATAGGTAACTGGTTAGATATATCTGACATATATCTGAATGGTTACACGTCTAATAAACAGATGTCAATACAACTTTGGGATTATTATAGAGATCGAGATTATCGATTCACAACACGGAAAAAAAAATTTTCGCTACCATAGCTAATCATGGTTTGCAAAATAAATTTCTAAACTACAGCAAAACGGTTTGCTGTTGCACTTAATAAATAGGTATCACAGCTAAGATGTTTGCTGTTGCACCTAATAAATAGGTGTCACAGCTAAGATGTTCGCTGTCCATATATTACGACTGAAATCTAGTTACTACACGCAGTTTTTAGCTACAGCAGCTAATTTTTTTTTCCGTGTTGTTACTCTACGCGCAATAATTTTGTAATAAAATAGGTAACTGGTTAGATATATCTGACATATATCTGAATGGTTACACGTCTAATAAACAGATGTCAATACAACTTTGGGATTATTATAGAGATCGAGATTATCGATTCACAACGTGTCAAATACAACGTATGCCTAAACGCGACGAGTTTTCTCATAGCTAATTAATTTTCGCTGCTCAAGTTCAGTTATGCATTTCAGACTGCCAAACGGCCATATCAATTTTGAGAAATTCTGGCAGCTGGCGAAGCAGGTGACTGAATTCATCGCGTGGAAGCAAGTTGCCTGTCCATTCGAGAAGAATCCGCGTGTCATTGCCTTCCTTCAGGCGAGCCCCGTGTTGACGGAAAACAGTGAGCAATATTTATTCTATCCCACTGTGGAAAATACGTGAAAATGATTGAATTCGACAAATTTCTGTCCTTTTTTGTTACAGCACTTGCGCTAGCATCTTTCGAGTGCGAACCGCCCGATAACAATCCGGAAAAGGAACGTTATAAAGCTTTAAAGTGAGTATCGTAACATGTATTATATAGAGACACGACATCTTTTCCGAAATATATATTATTATTTTTTTTTAAGTATTTAAAATATACTGAACAAAAACGATGGAAATTGGGACACAATGGAATTTCTTTATATCCAATATCAATAAAACAAATTTTTGTTGTGCGTAATGTAATAAAGTTGATTGAATCTCTAAACGATTCTGTTATCAATATTTGTATAAGTAAAATAGTTTTAAAAACTACTTGCTTTGAATAAACGTACAAAGCAAAAAATAAAGCTTTTATTGCAATTATATGTTAACAGATCTGAGATGAATGCCCAGTGAAAGCGAGCTATTCTGAAACATGCCGAATGGGAACGGTATTGATATAGATATACATGTGGAGATACATTTATAAATATTAATATATTCATAATCGTAGTTAGTTTATCCGTGAAGAAAATGATGAGAGGAAAAGATGAAGAGCAGATGGAAGATCGCGACAGCTGACTAAAGTATTACTGGGACGACCTACGTGAGATTAGGTATTTCTGTCTTGCGAATTTTTATGATGATTAAAAATTTTCAATGACGACTTGGCATCGTCGGAAACATCATTTAATCGCGATCTGTACAATCATCGCTTATCTTTCTGTTACATTTTTTTTATTTTAATTGTATTTTAATTGTATTTAATTTATCCATTTTAACTATATACAATTTAAAATATTTAGTATTAAATTCTCTCGGTTTTAATTTGGATGAATAAACTTTTGTTGATTATTCGACATTTGCAAATTATTATCGCGAAGAAAATATTATTTTTGCAATGCAATAGTTATAATTTTTATTCAAAATTTGCGTTTTATTTTTAAAATCTAATAATATTGGGGATAAATAACTGACACTTGCGCCTAAAAGGCAATCAATATTAAAATGCGAATTGTCAATAAATAAGATTGTACAGATCGATCGATTTCGATAGTATTTGTGGGAATCATGAACTCCGACCATTTCAATAGCCAAAAACTTGTATGATCATCGTGACCATACTAGTAAATGTTGAGTTATGCACACCTCGAAGATGATTGTGAAATTCGCTCGACAATGTCGCGTAGCCGTAAGTATAGTTCCTAAGCCTTCGACCCGTTGGCAGCTTTTCTCTCGAGCGCGAGAATCGAATCGTGCTATTCTCTTTATATTTCCGGACATTTTCCGGATACGATGCAAGGATTTCGGATTCGCTCGAGAAAGATGCGATCGACGTGCTCGATCTTTTGTACATAGTCCTTTTGATATACGTTAACAGACATTTAGGTGTGAGAAGTAGGGTCGTTCCTGTAGAATAAGCCCGGGCGATAAATTTGGGAGAGATAGGTCGTAAGAAAATCTCGTCATGCATGTACTTAAGAGGATGAGCAACCAATCGCGAAAACGATCAATCGAGGCGAGGAAGATGGAGAAATCGAAAATATCGGCGATTTGACTGACATGGCTCGGCCGTGTTTCTCATGCGTTTGACACAGATTGATTCGATAAATAATAGTCGCCGTTTCCGTTTCTCCTGTGACGCACGCAAAATAATCCGTGAATGAAAAATTTACTTGAATCCGGATTTACGCGCGATATAGCGATCGAAATAAATTCGGTTGTAATAATAATTTCGTGTGATTTTTTGTAAAGTTTGACGCGAGTAAAATGGGAGATAAATAATTTGAAAAGACATCTTAAAGCGTTGTAATCATAAATTATTCTTGCAAATTATATTGTGACATACGTAAATTTACGAAAATGCTTTCAAAATTCATCAATATTTATCAACGTTCAATTAATCAATTAATCAATTTAATCAACAAATTACTAATTATCATAAAAAATTCAGCAGTAAAATATGCTTATAAATGAGTACATTTGAGTGCCAAAAAATTAAATTATTGTCAAAAATTGGCAGACCAGTTTTTTCCGGAATGAATTAGGCTCGGTATTAATTAGTAACGTGATTATTAAATGTGTAAATGTAGTATACCGTGCCTTTGATCGAACATAGAAAAAATGTATTAAACGCAAAATTTACAAATTATAAAAAAAAATTTGAAATATTAAACATCAAAAACATATTCTTAAAGCGTGCGTCACTGTTCTCTCCGCGAAATTACGTATATTTTCCCCGTAAAATCGATGTCTTCGTAGCAAGTGAGATTACAAATCTGCCATAAAATACGTCAGATAGAAAGAGAGAGATAATATCTACTTCTCTTTTTATATTTAAGCGCAAATACTTGCCTAAATAAATTCAAGAAAAGAAGACATATGTGTTTCCGAGCAGTTATAGGGACCAAGAGTTTGTTTCTCCCGGGTACGTAAACTTTGCCTATGGCGTGAAAAAGTACCGGAAAATTGCGATGGCACGATCGAAGGAGAAAAATAAAACAAACTGTTTCGAATTTCGCTCACTGGGTCACGACTTTGTGGCCTGAGAGAAAAATTGCATGCAAATCGAAACGCGTTCCAAATCGCGATCTCGTTTACCTGAAACGGATGTATACACATAAATTGAAGAAATAACAATGTTATGTAATAACATTTCACGATTCTTCGAAACGATAACACGCGTAACGAAATATAAAATCTCTTCCAACTCTTTCGTTCCTCTTCTCTATTCCGTTCATTCCCATTTGGTCCTTAATAAAAATTTCATATCTGTTCTAATTTCTTTTTGCGATCAACAAAACGATCAATACTGATTGTCAGAAATAGTCAGTCGTGGTTTTTTTTTTTCGTTGATAAGAAAGATTTCTCTTTGGATTTTTTATATGCTGTCGAGAAGCTGGAGACAATCTCGATTTTCTTTCCTTTGTACACATTCTCGTAAATAATGCATTTTTATGAGACTTGTATTTTAATCGCGTTTTTCTCTCGCGGCACATGAAGTAAAAGATCACAAGAGATACGAAATGCACTTAGTACACCAAGTGTACAGAAAGATCGCGTAACAAAGAAAGTATAATTTATTGATCGAAACGAGACAAATTACGCGAGCTCTGCGCGAATCAGGTCATCGTAAAGAATACTCACCTCGATATATTATTAAGATAATTGTTAGCCCATACACAAGTCATTACGAATCATCCACTTTTTCTGTATGTTTTTCGCCAAACAGTGTCTTTATCATTACGTATCATTTATATGCATTTGTTATTAAAGACTCACTCAGTCATCAGTAAATGTGTGTTTTTCGTTATAAAAGGTTTTTAGAATTTTATAAGTAAAATATATTAATATAATAAAAGTGTGTAGTTATAAAAAATGAAAAAAAAACACATGTAAGCATGCGCCGAAACTTGTTGTTATAAACAACATTTTTTTTAACACTTTTACAAATTTACAAGTGCCCAATATATATAATCCGTCAGTTTTTACTTACCATTTACCATGTTATAAGTATATTTGATAATTATCTTCGTCCAATATTATTAACTCGATTAAAATTATCTATATTATCAAATCGATTCGCGAATATTCGAACGAGATCTGGTTATGCCGCGAGCTCGTGGCAATTTTCCCTAAGTGATAACAAAACCGACACATGCACGTTACCGTAAATCAACAATAAAGCAAATTACACCATCATCTTTTGTTTTTTAAGCGACACGCGTGTTACATTGTCAATAATAATAGCGTTATATCGTGATCGCGTATTGATCATGATCCGCTGTTCATTATCGCTTTGACCTTTTCTGCTCGATATCGTTAATCCACTCGAAATCATTCCCGTTCATTTGTTTCGCTCTTCAGATAACATTATATCGAATTTTTTATCATGCCATTTTGTATAATTTATTTAACAAATACAACGCAATAAATTTACTAAGCAAAAATATCGTTGTGAATATGCAACACATTGATGTACAATCCTTTTTATAATGGAGCAAAACATTTTTCTGGATATTGATTTTTCATTTATTATCACAGTATTTTGACCATTAACAATTATCTAATCACTATCTTTCTCCTCGCATTCGACGACACTCTAGCGATGTTCTATAGTTAACAATTCTGTACATAAGAAGAAAATCGTGTGTGTATATATGATTATATACGTATCTGTACGTTTTTTAGATTTAAAGTATAGGCCGCAATCGAATTTAGAAATCAGCGGAAATGGATCCGTTACGCGGCAGAATCTACGACCTAGTATCAGCGACTATAATCGCGGATCGGTCAATCCGAGATTGCCTAATACAACTTTAAAGTATGTTCGTATGTTATGTATGTATGTATGTGTCCTCGAGCGCGCGATTGATTAGAAGATGAAGGTAATTCTTGCTTAATATCTAGTCACTAGATTGTTAGTTTGATTCGAATTTGTGTCATTAAACGGAGCTTGTTTATTTTCTTTTGTATTTAAATTTCTTTTCTTCTCTACTCGAGGTTTATTTAACTTTATCAGAACACGTCACGAATGCGTTACAATTCTGTATAAAACCTTCCCTACTTAATGTATATAAAATTTGTATTAATGAAATTATTATTAAAATATTTGAGAAAACTTTTCTTTTTATATATTAATATTTTACATTTTTATCATTATACTTTTTTCATATTTTTATTATGATATATTTCTTAGTGACACAAATTCGGGCCATTTTATGCCTAAATTAAGTGTATTCGAGTTAAGTATTTAATATATTAATTTCAACTTTAAGCGTACTCGACATTCCCTTAAGTAAAATCATAATTATACTATGCGATGTAGATAGGATATCTCTTTTGTAGAATTCTGCGAGCTCATTCTTGGTTTGTCATCTTATAGCAAATATCTACAATCAATGCGTTTAATATTTTTCAATCTAAATTTTTTTTTACGTACACTGGTATATCAAGCGTATCCAAATCACGTTTGCAAGATTCTTATTCGAGACCATTAATTTCTTGCCAAAAAATAACTTCAACGATCGTGTATCTAATGTGATTCGTAAGTTTTTTTGTGTTTTCAAGTGTTAGTAAGCATAACAAAAATCGATAAAACATATATTCGGGAGGATGAAAGTTTGATTTTCAGTTTTATGAAGATTGTACCGAAAGGAATAATCGTGGCACGATTACTATAAATAATAAATGCAATGAGAGCATGAATTATTCAGCATGAATATTGTTAGTATCGGCGATGTCATATTTTCAAACAAAAAATCACATTGTCTGGCAGACTTTTCTCGCGAAAACATCTTTAAATTACCACAACGTCAATAGAAGCGTCTCGATCGAGCTGGAGATTTCACAGAGAAATAAAGAAATACATATTTATAGAATTGTTTGAGACATACATATATATATATATATATATATATATATATATATATATGCCTTTTCTGTGTGCAAATTCTTAGATTTTTCCAATAATTAACAGGTCATGACTTTGGTACAATCTTCATATGAAAGCGTAAGAAGCCTTTCGAACTTTATATGAATCAATGTTTTAAAATTGTGCTATTTTATATATTGATTACTGTTCTCGTCGTTTTTATATATTTGTCTTTTAAGAAAACGAATAGTGGGAGAGGTAATTCAATAAGCGAACAATAGGAAATTGTTTAGCTTTTGTCTGATCAACTTAAATTATAACAGCGTAATAATGTAACTCGGATATGTAAGTTTATACTGCAAGCATATTGTTTCTTTCGCAACGTTTCTATTCAATTTGTATAAATGCCATCCGTTGAGTTGCCACTTTGAATTGAATCGGGTCAGAGATATACAATGTGTTGGGACTATTGTACATAAAATAGGCTCAATTATGTAACAGCGACAGAAATGCAGCAATTACAATATTACTGTAGAAACGACGATGTCTTATGAAATAAACTGCAAATTAACAAAATTATCACCGACCATATTTATATCCACAATTCTTTGTGGTATGCATTATTTTATATATCGTTTTAGAGAAAATCAGTCCAGAACATTACAACACATCTTGTATATTTTATATTTGCGTTTTTTTTTTTTTTTTTTTTTGGTCATGTCGACGTGGGAATTATTTCTCGCCGCATCAGGAATAAATCAGAAAGAGATAATATGTTGACTTTATTATTCTATCATTTATTAAATTTATCAGATTGATATAATGTATGTAGGAGAAAGGAAAATATACATATACACGCGATCACGTGTGTGTATAAAGTAGATATTTCTTTTACGTACAGTGACAGAAACAATTTTTTTAAGAGGATTGAAGACTATAGAGATGTATTTCTTATTTTTTTCCATATTCGCTCTGATACCTTCTAAATCATTAAAATAAAATCGCTTTACTTTTATTCTCCTATAAAATATATATAACACAACAAAGTAAATATTTTATTATAATATATTTACAAATAATAATAGAATTATAATTCGCAATTGTTGTTTATGTACATTGGCCCGACATGTATTAACTTTTCTTATAAACAAATTAATAAGTAGCACACACAGACACACATATACACACACAGACGTTTTCCTTTTTTAAAAATTTTGTGATTTAAAATTTTATCTACCCGCTAGTGATTCTTTAATTTTTTGATCGATCCAGCGACGATAATACGCAACGCGAACATAAACTCCAGGTTTGTTTGCCTTGCCACAATGCTGACCCCAACTGGTTATTCCATATAAAGTAAAAGCTCCTATAATAAAATTTATTATCACTATAAATATTAATTTAATCTAGAATATAAAATTGAATATATTATTTATTTCTTTCAAAACATTTCAAAGTACTTTAATTAAAGTAAAAAATGAAAAAGAATTATGTTTCTTGATTTTTTAAAATATAAAAATTTTTTGCTAGCTTGGATATTATCCTCCTTTTTTTATTATTACATTAATATATTTTTATAATTATATTTATATTACTAAAAAAGTTCATATTGTTATATATAACTCATTACTATTTTTTTCATTGTGATTAATATAGATTATTTCAACATTACCATTATGATAACACGCCAAAGGACCTCCGGAATCGCCGTCGCACGTATCGATACCCTCGTCAAGATATCCAGCGCACATCATTCCCTCGCTTATAGCACCTTCGCCGTAAACATAGCTAGCCTGACAGATTGATTGGTCCAACAAAGGTACCCAGCCATACCGTAAATCCTTTGATTGCGCTGCAAGACAAAACAACGACAGTTTGATTTATCCTATGAGAGTCAGCTTAAAATAATTCTCCCTGGCATCTCGCTTACTCGTCTTTCCCGTTTCGATGCTTCCGAATCCGCTGATTGTGCAATTGAGTCCAGGTGAATAGTCGGTGTTCTCGGGCGGCAAGCAAATTGGCATGATATCCTTGCCAAGCGAGATACCGTGGCCTTTAAGTAGAATCAAAGCGATATCATTGTTCATCCTGTGACCCTTGCGGAATTCCTCGTGCACGTAGTAATCCTCGATGTTGGCCTCCGCTTCCGTTCCTTCGTCTATCTGATGATATCGAACGCAATATGAAATATATTTTGGCAAATACATTATATAAATATATTCTCTTTGAAATCGCGCGTTTAATTATTTTTACTCACATCCGTGTTATAATCTCCCGCACGAACAAAATAGGTGCCTTTGTTGTAACCTTCCAGACAATGTGCCGCTGTTAGTAGATGTAGAGGCGATATCATGACCGCACCGCACCAATGACTTGATCGACTATGCCCTCGGACTCGTATGCTGGCCTAAAAATTTTATTTTACACACTTTTTATATTTCGTCAATATAACAAAATTTTATCTTAATTCCCAAGTATAAATAAAACTTGGAATTAAGATAAAATTCTAAACATTCAATGCAATATTTATTTTAACATTAAGCTACATTATTTTAACACAAAATATGTATAACTGGATAATAATTTATTATCGTAAAATGTGAAATTTATTTTATAAAATTAATTTACCTGCCAAGGATAGGTGCCTTTTGGTGCAACGTTACCATGTACTACTTTTTGAAATATCAAATCATCATCGTCATTAAAATCTTTGGCGCGATGACCACAATTTGACGGAAGTAGCTCGTCGATGTTTCGTTCTGGAAGTTCCGGGTTGTTTATCCAGTATGACTGCTCAATAAATGAGGGTTAAGAAATAAACAAACAAATTATATAAATTTTATAAAATATTGTTTATTTTAAAATTGTTGCAAAGATTGCCATTATTATTAGCTTACACAAATATTATATATTTTATATATACTAAACATTTTTCAAATAAAATATTTTGAATCTAATTTTTTTTATTTGTATTCAAAGCAATCTAATAGAAGAAAATCAATTTTTAATCGTTACAGTCGACATAATTCGATTAATAATTACGTTACAGTGAATGAAGTTTGTTTTGAATTACCTCAGCATTGTTAACATTTCCAGGTGAGCAAATTACACCTGCGTCCTCATTATGATCACAATTATGTTGGCCCCAGTGATTATGCTCGCAACGATATAACTGCGATTCGTTTCCATGACAGAATACCTATTTTGTGAAACCAAAAGTATTTCATTAAATTAGCTATTATTAATATTATATGCTGTTTAATTTTTATATAAAAGACGGTTAAATATATAACAGTTATAAATTATAAATGTAACACCTCGTCAAGCCATATAGGTCCTTGGCCAGGTCCAAAAAAGCCATCCTTCTTGGCGATTGCGATACCACCATATCCCAAAGATCTACAAATAACAGTTGCCGTGGCATTCGTAAAATCATCGTCGCATACAGTACCCCATACACCGTGATGACGCACTTCTACTCTTCCATGCAAAGAATTGCTACCATTTGCCAAGCGCAACTCGAACGGTGCCTGAAATCGAAGTTGTATCGAGATCTGCAAATTTATTTTTTGCCATTCGTTTAACTTACATCGCAATGTTCCGGACTCTCATCGGAGCGATCTGGGCAATCGACTACCTCGTCACAAATAAATGGGGTAGGTATGCAAGTAGGACTATTATCGCATTTCCAATGACCTTCCTGACAGGTATTGACCGCAGTCTTACATACGATGCCAACAGCTTCTTCCGGTTGACAATTATGGATTCCCCATCTAAAAACAAAAACAATTCAGCCATTAATTTTAGTATTTAGAGGGGGCAATGCGTAATTAATAAAATATAAAATATAAAATAAAGACAATTTTTTTATATATACCCGTTAAAATCGCATTCTCGTAGTGTAGTCTCGTTTCCCCGACACTTCAACTGATCCACCATAAATCTCGTAGGTGGATCGAGATTTCCATAGAATCCACCCGATCTGACTTCCAAAGCTCCGAGATCGAAACCGAGCTCTTTGCAGATGACGTCAGCATTGATCATTCCAAAGCCATCGTCACATACCTGTCCCCAATGTCCTAAAACTACTCGAGATATCGAGTAATTTACAAAGTAAAGAAACAGAGAAAATATATTTGGCTTTTAAAATATTTAATTTAATTTCTTTCTCTTGCGCAATTTTTTTTCGTAAAATATATATATGTAGAAGGTTTCTATTTCAGAATATAATTATCCACAGAAAAAAAAATATTAAATAAATTTCTTAAGAAAATTGATTTAAATCATATATGACATACGCAAAGAGAAATAAGACTGAAATAAAGATTAAAATAAATATTAAGAAATAATAAAATATCATAAGAATAATAAGAATTTGTTGTACGATATTAAAACATGTATTACAATTTATTGTACTACACATTATCATCAAAATAATAAATATTTTTTCAGATATTTTATTTATTTAACTATTTTTGTGATATATATACTTACTTTTTACTTCTATTCGACCTTCATAACTGTTATTTGCACCAGCCAAGCGAATATCGTAATCAAGATTTTCAGCAGTGCAGATATTCTCATCACTGCGATCATCGCAGTCATTTTTGCCATCGCAGACTTGTGTTTGATTTATGCATTTGTGATTATTGCAGATATACATGTCATTGCAGTTCATGCTTCTCTCTCTCATTTCATAATAATCGAACTGCTTATCGGGCTTAAGAGCACCAGTCAACCCAATGTTGCTGTTACTCAATAAACACACATTACCATTCGATCTAAAACAGAATATGTAAATATATGTGTAAACACACACCTGTAAGCCTCATCAAGCTCAAGTAAAAATCTATTTTAATATCTCGTGCAACACGTTTATATAAATTATGCTATTATAAAGAACTAACTTGTTTCCACACTTTATTATCACACTATGAGAATTTATAAAATAGTTGAAAGTAGAAATGTTAATTATATATACGCTACGTGTATATGTGTGTGTATGTATATGTCAGTATTTAATATACTTTTCTTCAACATGGCTGTATTCGCGGATTAATAGATAATAATTTCTATACAAACTTGTGATTAAACGAGCGACAAGTGAAATCGGCTTCCTTGCATCTTAGAGCACAGGTTTTCAACGGTGTGTTCAACCATTTTTCCACATCGTAGCCCTCAAGTTTATGTTTTGCAGATTTTTGAAAGAGACTAAGATCCAACATGCATCTTCTTTCGTCGGCTCCATTTGTACAATCCTAAATTGCATTAATTAAAAGCATTATATTATGATTTAATATATGTGTGAGTATTTTTTCAAACATATAAACATATGTCTTAAAGTAGAAAAATGAATATATCTTAAAAATTTTATAAGAATTTAAAATATCAAGTATATTCATTACATCATTTTAATTAATTTAATATATTTTTACAAAGTAAAAAATTTATACTGCTGCACACAGAGATTGCTGAAAGAGGCTTGATTTAAAAACTCTTTTCTAATTTTAGTAACAGGGCATTTTTAATCTAGACAAATTTTCGAAATGTATTTGATAGCCATGATCCTTCTCTTTACATACTTTTAAAAAATTAAAAGAAACATTGACTGAAAAATGAATTATTTTATATCACACATATTAAATGAATGTGTGCGCATCGTTTATATCTCACCTCCTCTCCATCGCAAACCCATGGGGATGGGATACATTCTCCTGGCATACATTCGAAATGTTTAGGTTTGCATTGGCCAGTCAACATTGACCGTCTTGGATCTAAAGAAAAATTACTTTTATATATTTCTCTTCACTACAATATTTATTTTGTCAGTGTTTCTTTTGATGATTCAACACGGAAAAGTTTGATTAATAAACTTCAAAGATATACCAATATTTCCACAGGCAGGAATATCGCAATATTCATACTTTCCAGGTACTATAAAACACCATGGTCTTGATTCCTTTCCTGGATTAGGATTTCTGCAGTAGTTATGCGTTTTTAATTTATCCCGAACTTCTTTATTAACAACCTGCGATAATAAAAATCAGATTGCATTTAAATTCAATAAATAGCACATTTTTGACATATAATAATAAACTTACATTCACATGTAATTGATGTGCAATTCTTTCATCGGCCCATGAAAGACATGCATTTCCTGATATTGTTACATTGGCTTTACCAGTGTATTGATTTCCTTTTCCGTATACGCAACCTAGAAAGAAGCGAAAGAATAAAATTGCGCGAATAGTGTTTTAGCATCCAAATATTTATCGCAATATGTATTATGAAAGATTATAATATCATATTTTATATCAGAAATTATATCTGGTACACTTCGAAATAAATTAAGTAAAATTTGATAAAATGTAATAATATATAAATTATTTCTTATAATATCATTGATTAATATAAATATACGGAATATATTATATTAGATATAAAATTATGCAATCTTTTTTTTGTTTATTTTGTATATATTTATATGTACCAATATCATCGTAAGGTCTCTTGCAAATAAAGAAATGCCCTTGCGAAGCAGTTGCGCAATCTTCAGTGTCCCAGAAAAAATAATCTGTATCACACGTCGACTCAGGTCGTTCATAACACGGAAATTTTCGTTTCATCACAATACAAAGAGGACGATAGCCTACCCATGGTGGTTGTTTCGTATCATTCATCCATCCAGGCCACCACTTTGTAAATCTGACAAAACATTTTAAAAAAATTTTAAAGTGAAAAAAGGAATAACTCGAGTAAATTTATAATTTTATACATGCAAAAGCAATGATTTGATTGATATTAAAAAGATCGATTGAATAGATTAAAATTAAATGAAATTTATGTTTTGATATCGTTGAAATTGTACTTGAATTTAGCACGCGCGGAATCCGCCCAGAGCCACAAGGTTCGATTCATTGTGGTGAAACCGAAACCAGAAGTCATGATTGAGTTAACTTCCGGATACGATTGCAATAGCAACTCTGACACAAAGTTGTTTTCCGCCTGGCTAGTGACGTCGATGAGTCGTGCATTCCTTCGTGTACAGTGCTCCAATGCTTCGGCATGATTGAGTCCGTTATCAGGATGAGCCAAGTGATAACAGTGTCCATTGTGCGATATCTCGTCCTTGCGACAATGTGCTATACGATTAGGAACGCATCGCACACCAATCGCATCTCTAGCCACGCGACATTCTTCATTGTGTGTGAATCTAGATATAATTATTGTTATAATATTACTGTTATAATTATCACGATATATTTTAGCGTAAAGACTTTTGTTACAATCTGTTTTTTACGGAAAAGATTGCAAATAAAAGATGATCAGAGATTTTTAAGAAACGAGAAAAGCAAGAAATACGAAATATAAATATTTTACTACAATCATGAGAGATCTAAAAATCAAAATTTTTGTTTTTCGATCATTTCTACCGAATGCTGTAAATCTCTTACAGCGTGTATCTTACTTGCATGTTTGAAATCTGGTCTCATTGCCGAGACACGTTACAGTATTCGCAGCGATCCAAGTTGGCACTCCATTGCGATTGTTTCTGCCTTGCCAAGCCATCTCAGCGCCTCTTTAATAAACAAGAAATTTGTCATATCACACTTCTCCATTACTCACTAATCCGAAAAAAGTAAAAAATTCAAAATTTATAAAAAAATTTATGAGAAAATTTATAATAGACAAACATCGAGATAAAAAAAATTCATTAAAATAAAATTTTTTTATATTGAAAAATATGATAAGAAATATGTAATGACCTATTTTTATGTGTTTAATAATTAAGTTTAGATTTTCAGAGAGAGAAAGAGAGAGAGAGAGAGAGAGAGAGAAATGGTATAATAGAAAATCATTATATTGACATGACTTTTAAAATGTAATTTAAATTTTCATTTTAGGTACCTGATATAGCCAAGCTGTCTGCATAAAATATGAGCTTCTTTTAATGTCCAACTATTTCTGGAATCGCATACAATGCCCCAACCAGGTAGTGTACCTTGGACTTCAACATAGCCATCATTAGGCCCCGAACCACCTCTCAAGCGAATCACCTATTAATGTAAATAAATTGTTATTTTATTATGATTTTAAAATTAAATTTTGTAACTCGCCTGTACAACAGATAGATACTCTTACCTGACCAGATATGGGTGTTGGTCGAACGGATTTTTTTGAATGAGTCAATGGTTGCACTGGTTGTACATAATAAACTGGGAATGGAGCTTCTTCTACAAAAAATAATAAAACAAAAATTCTTTATTTACATATTTTTTTAGCTATTATTATCTGTTTAAACAGCACTAGCGTGTATAACAACTTGCATTGCTGATATTGTAAAAGTATGTATTTTTTATATGTTAATGTTTCCATATAATTAATTAAAATCGTGCAAAACATAAGAACACGTGCAAAAGGGCAATACCAAGCTGACTAAACAACATATTGTCTGAATAAAAATCTAATGGTAAGAATAAAATAGTGCCAATGCCATAATCCTTAATATTGCATAATATCCATAAATAATTACTATATAAAGATATAAATATTCACAATATCTCATTGAATATATGATATACATATATTTAAGATATTCAATGAAAAAGAAAAATAGTCTAAATTGATAACAATTCAGAATATTTTATTTTTGCTGCTAATTCTAACTCTAGATTCTCGATTATCACATCGGAATGTTATTCTTTGCAATAAAAGAGAATAATTATTTTGTATTTATTTCTTGCAAAGATTTCATCTATATAGCTAAGATTTAAATTTGATATTACACGATACTTTACGGCACGACAGTACACAAGAAGCGAATTGTAAGAAAGCCATTCAAAGAAGCGTTCCAAGAATAACTTACCAAATTTATTTTTCGCGACTTATTGCATAGATAAAATACACACGTGGATCTGCATTAAATTAAATCCTGAACTTACCTTCCTTAAATGGTGCCGCTTCGATATTAAAAAGTTCGACATCGGTTTTCTTCGGGCCAATTTTCATAATGACCGATGGAGCTGTCGTGGTCTTGGTCTTATTTTCGAAAACTAGTCTGGGCTTCCAGACATTTTTGTCATCTAATACATCCACGTCGTAATCATTTATGTCGGGTTCGATAACATTTGGGGTAGCAGAATCTACATTACTTATTTTTGTATTGCTAGCGCTCCCATAATCATCGTCTTCAATTGAAACATTAGGTAAATTGGATTCGCTTGTGATACCGAAATTATGCGATTCTCTTTCTGTCGTACTATTTGCAAAATCTCTTCCTTTCCTTGATAGCTCAGATTGTATATTTGAAATTCTCTCCGTCGTCGTTGTCATTGGCGTTCTCGTTGTGAATGATGCATAATTACTATCAGTACCTATTAAAAGAGGAATATTTCGTCGGACAAACATCTGGAAATTTCTAAATTGCAAATGTACGATCATTATTGCTGCCGGCTTAATTATTAAAACTTGAACTATCGATAAAATAAACAAGAATACAGCTCCCAGCATTCAATATTTGACCGTCAGTGCTTATCGTATTAACAATAAATAATAATAGCTATAGTTAGTTTCTGCCAAGAGATAATCAAAGTTTAGATGGCAAACAATACAATATGTGCAGAATATTTTAAAATTCAACCATTAAGTATTTATATAGAATAAATAATAAGAATTAATAGTAAAATAAAAATATATGCTCGATTGTTAGATTTAAAAAAATCGACAAAACTGCAAATTAATCCTTGTAAAAGTAATAAAGATAATCACAGAGAGAGTTTGTAAGGGCACATCAAACAAAATATATTGATAGGATAATAATTAAGGCATACTATTGAAAGTATTATTCCATCTGATAGGTTTCTGAACATCATGAATTCTCGAACGTCCTTCATTATTCTCAATTTCTTTTGTGATGAAATGACCTTTTATGCCACCTGCATTGACATATATGCTATTTGGATAAAAGTTTGTTTTTGGATCTTGAGTTGTATTTTTAGATTCTGCGACAAATTATAAAGCGTCATGAGTATAATTCTTATAAAATGTTTTGAGAAATTATATTTACTATTTAAATTAATAATTTGCATCTTATTATAAATAATCAGCATATGTATAATTTTGCGTTTAATAGATATGTATTTATTGTCAAATAATTAAAAGAGTAATAAAAAATTATACCATCCATTTACAGACCTAAATTTACTTGGCTCTTGGGGTTTGAAAAGACATTTGTCCTTGTTGCCCATTGTGTCATTTTTGTATCTGCCTCTCTATCAATCGTACTTTGCGAGTACGATTTATCAGTTCGACTAATAGTGCCTACAAAACATTAAGCTTTCACTCATATTTAGTAATATGATAAATTTTATTTAAAAAATACTACTTTCAGCAGAAATGGATACACAAAAAATTTTGCATTTGTCATTACATTTAATTATCTAATCATCTAATGTGTTGATTCTTATTATACCTATAAATACTTTATTAAATTTAAAAAATTTATATTTGTTATATTTAATTGTTATTGTATTGCGATTGTTCAACATTAATTCCTGAAATGTACATCACAACATGCGATCTAATTTTCATGCATTAACAATTATATTTCATGCATTGTAAACACTAAAGAGTACCATTGTCCATTTACATATATTTTGCATTGTTTATTGAATTAATGTCATACTATAATATATTAATCCAAAAAGCTTTGTACAACTTTTTGCAAAGTTAATTCATGCAGCGTGCAAATATTTGCCAGTTAATTTTGTACGACTGATATTTTATAATTACTATAAACTGCATTATTATTTTATTATAAATTGATTATAATTTATCTTTTAATTTTCTGAATACTAATAGTGAGAGTAATAATAAATAAAAAATATTTTTATATGATAAACAGCAATAAACTATTGTATCTTCATAAATATAATAATTTTATATGTAAAGATATATATGTATAAAAGTGTGTGTTGTATTTGTAATGTATTAAAATAATAAACTAATATATTAATTTTTATTTACCTTGATCCCACGGATGTGTCTGACTTTCCGTTTGTACTTCTCCTCGATTTTCTTGACCATGCCACGTATTTGGTTTGAAATTAGATCTATCTGGCTGATTCCAAGAGATATTTTCTTGCCCTGTCCAAGGAGGAGATAATTTGTCTTGTCTCAATCCATCCTGGATCTGATCCCAACTCTCGGTTGATTTATTATCACTATTTGGAAAAATATTTCCAACGGATGAAGAAGTACGATTAAAACTAGGATGATAAAGCCCAGGAGTCGTCCTATCATAATTTTGTCTATTCGAGGAAAAGTCATAATCGATTTGTCGATTTGCCGGCATATTTCCGTCGGTGTCAAACTTTGTTTCATTATGTCTGTCGTGAAACTGAATGTTATCTTCGTCGTATCTTCCAGGAGGTTGAAACTGCCTCTGATCCGTTTTGTCTGATGCAGCATTTTCAAAATTATGGTAATCATGACGAGAATTATGATTATAATTGTAATTAGGACGCCAATTACTATCGGTATTTGAAGGGTAGTATCCTTGATTATATTGTTGATCACTAGTAGCAGCGACATTAGCCCAATTTGTATTTTCCGAAGGATTCGATGTAGATCCATAATTGTGATAATGATGATGATGATGATGATGGTAACCTTGAGGATAATATTGATAGCCATAATGATAATCTGGATTTGTATGTGCCTGTAACCATGGTCCTTCTGGACGATCGGGAATATGAGTTCCTTGTGGTTCTTGATCATATCTCTGACTTTCCGCTTCTTTCGGATCGTAATTGCCACCGAAAGGACGTCCTAAATTTCCACTTGGTTTCCATCCTAAATTATGCGATCCATGATCTTTGTATCGATTTTCTCCACGCACAGGACTGTTAGGATCATGATAATTTGTAATGGAACGATTATAAAATGGTCTCGCGGTTGTCCACGTTGGTATCCATCGTGGACTTAAGGTTGTCGTAAATGGTCTCCATGTTGATCTATATGTTGGACTCTTTGTCGTGCTATATCCCGATTGAAAAATATGATTACGAGTGTTAGTTGTATGATTATAAGGGCCTGAATTCGACCATGACGTGATACCTCTGGCTTCGGCAGATGGTGACCAAGTACGAGCTCCTGTCCTGTAAATTCCATCACCGGATTTATCTGTAATTCAGAAATTATATATTTCAATAATTTTTAAAAAAGATTACTCTAGAAAATATTAATCAAAAAACAGATTTTGCTTAAATAATTTAGAATTAATTGTATAATTTTATTTAATATTGATTGTTAGAGAGTAGTATAAGAATACAGAATTTTTTCATCAAGATGTTGAAAAAAATATGATTGCAAATTATTTTGAGAAAAATGCCGTATTGTACTAAGATTAACATTGTTTATATTATTTATTAATATTATACGATCACCTGTTTTACAGCTGGGCACATTGTACGGCCAATCACAAACCGTCGTAACAGGATTGAAGACTGTTCCAGGACCGCAATCCATTATATAAGTAGCACCGTTTGCACATTGGAGAAACTTTTTGCATGTCTCTGGATGAGGTAATAATCCAGTAAAATACGCAGGGCATGTAATTCTTTTTACGTCGGTATATGCTAACTTATCGCGTCCGAAGCTCGAATTTAAAGATGTAAGTGGTATTCTTTTGTCATCCTCGTTAGGTTTAGAAGTATCTGTAAAACGCAACAGATTTAAATCATTATTTTACGCCATCGAGTTGTTTCTCCAAAAAAACAATTGTTTATTACCTTCGCAACCCTTTACATTGTACGGCCAATCACAAACCGTTGTAACAGGATTAAAGACTGTTCCAGGACCACAGTCCATTATATAAGTAACACTATTTGCACATTGGAGAAACTTTTTGCATGTCTCTGGATGAGCTAATAATCCTGTAAAATCCGCAGGGCATATAATTCTTTTTACTTCGGCATATGCTGACTTATCGCGTCCAAAGTTCGAATTTAAAGATGTAAGTGGCATTCTTTTGTCATCTTCGTCAGATTTAAAAGTATCTGTATAACGCAACAGATTTAAATCATTATTTTATCAAGCCATCGAGTTATTTATTCGAAAAAATAATTATTTCTTACCTTCGCAACCTTTTACATTTCGCGGCCAATCACATACACCAACAGTAGGATTGAAGACTGTTCCAATGTCGCAATTCATAATGTAGGTCACACCATGCGCACATTGCACAAATTTTGTACAATCTCCATAATGTGGTAATAAGCCAATCAAATACGGTGGACATTTCGGTTCCTAACAGACACCAAATAATCGCACAATAAATTCAGAATACATTAATATATAAAACGTACATGATAATAAAAAAAGAATAAATATAGCATAAACCCACTATCAATTTTTGCAATTTCCGATTAACTAATTGGGATTCAGAATCTAATGACTCTTTAAAATCGATGAATTCATTCTCGTAACATCTCACTTTATGTGGAAAATCACACTCCAAGGTGTCCGGATTAAAATGAGTGTTTGGAGCACACGGTTGGACAAATGCACGACCCTGCCAGCAATTGACGAAAAACTTGCAATCTGGCGGATAAACAAATTGCCCTGTAGAATTGTGATCAGGACACTGAACGCCCAACCGAGAATCATACTTAGCCACTTTGTGATGAGGTTTATGCGAAAGAACTATATTTTCCTTTCGTGGTTTCTATACAAAAAACAAAAAATTAATATTAAATTAAATTTGGAAAAAAATTCTCTTGTACACCTTTGCTATTTGTCATTATTTTTTGTCATGTTATATTACAATGTAAATATCCAAAAAATACTATAAGATAAGAATTAAGACAAATTAAAAAAATTTTTTTTTTTAATGTAGTTTTTTCTCTCTCCCTCTCTCCCTCTCTCAAATATTTTGTATACATATTTTAAAACTTAGTTTTCTAACCCTTGTTATTTAGGATTTTGTATGTTTAAAAGATCTTATCGTATGCCTTTGGACTTTTATATCATATTAGTTAAGGATATAAAAGAATAGTCAATAACAAAGATACTATCAAAATTTATCATATATTCAGATAAAGACATCGTGAGCAAAACTAATAAGCTTAAATTTTTTGAATATACAGACACGAAACACGTGCTAATGTAAATGTTCTCTTTATAAAAACGGATCTGTTTAAAGATTTAAAAAGTTACCGTGCTATCAATAGCCACGCCTTCATAATCCTCATTCTGAAATCCCACATTTATTTCCTTAGTTCCTTCATTTCTCTGTGGATGTTTATGCTGAAAATCAATCTCGTTATGAGGCCGATTTCCGTATTTCGATTCATTCTCAAAATGCCCATAATTTTTATCAAAATTAATTAAATCTCTGTATTCAACAGGAGGTTTCAGATTTTCTCGTTGCTCCAAATTATCAAATTCCAAGTTATGTTGTTGCTCAGGAATTTGCTCGGAAACTTGAGGAGGACCATAATTCTCAATATCAATCTGTGTTCGTTGTTCGATTTCGCTGCCCGAAGCTTTTCGCCAAGAGCTCCAATTTTTTGTGTCAGATTTAGGCGAAACGTTGTCCCGCGTTAGTTGTTGCCATTTTAGAGAACGAGGTTCTATTTGAATGCTGCGATGTAGAAATCAATCAAAATAAATCAATCATAGTTTTAATTTTTATTGTAAAGATGAATCAAAATTTATATATATATATAATTTATTATAATTGTATATTTGTTTTATTTATATAAGTTTATTCGAGGCTAAGCGAAGTCATTGTACACTTGGTACAACCAATTACATAGAGACATAGAACATAGAATATACAAATGAATAAATAAAATATATTTAACAATTTATTAATATTATATAATTATGTATGCTTTTCGTTTCATTTAACTGTTATCAGTAAAAGTATGAGCACATATCGCACTTTAAACATTAAAATGTAAACAATTTATATGGTATTGTTATATGTATTTAAATAGATATCGTTTGAAAACGTAGTTAAACTAAAATCATTGTACATTGTGTGCGCGTATCAGGAAAACGGCATTATATTAAAAAAAATATGTATACGTGCATAAATTCAAATGAACATAAAAAGAATTAAATGTTTATATTGCACTATAGCACTTGCATTATAGCACTATGACGTGTAATAAATAAAAATTAAGAAAAGATATATTCATGACACATGTTCAATTTTAATCAAATAAATTATACGTTCCTGAGACTTGATTGCGAATTTACATTACGTTTTACACATGTCTTTATATAACGCGCCATTAATCAATGCAAATAAAATATTTTTGAACTCGACTCGTTAATGTCATATTACGTGTTATTATCTCGGTGAAAAATTAAGCATGTGTATCCCAATTTTTATGAAAATCTATCATTTCAAAAGTAATAGAAATTTATTCGTTATTCCTCTTAAAGACATAATAAAACTAGCATAAATTTTTGCACTGCGAATTCGTATTGTTTCGTTATAATGACATTAATATCTATTGAAACATCAAATATTTTCGTCTTTTCTTATAGCCCAATTTTAGTCAGTCTAATCCACATTCAGATCACATTTTCAAACAGTTTTGAGTAAAAAAAATGGAAAATAAAGCGACTGCGTGTATCACTAAGAGCCACAACGATTCTATCACATACCGCGGAAGAAAAAACGGCAAAATAGACGAGGCAGAGCGCGACGAGAAAACGCTTCAAGTACAGCGTCATTTTCGATGCTTCCACGATACACCGAGCATCGTACTATACTGATCCTCGGCTCCTTGTAAAATCGTGTAGTTCGATTACTGATCGGCGCCGTTTTACTCAGAAGCAGATAGCCTTTGAAAACAAGCAGTCTGATTCATGGAAACTAGAGGGTTATCAGTTTAAGAGGTCGAGGTTCATTTGAGTTCGGCGTATGCGACAGCGGAGAAAAACGAGAACAGAATGCAAAAGATATAGATAATAAAGAATGGTGAGAAAAAGATAAAATACCCAGATAACTTCTGTTCACGCACGTAAAATAAAAAGAATGCCGACATGCGTATATGAGTCGACGCAATAAACGAGCGACTGCAAACAAAGTTATTTGCCCATCGACGAGCGAACAAACTTCTGGCGCTCGTTGATGATTATTACACACACAAGCTGGTCTTATAAAGGAACCGGCACGAACAGTACAAATGAACGAGATATGCTATTTTATATGCGCCGTTTTATTGAGCCTCTTTAGGAAACATTATCATACGAGAGACTTTTATGCCGATTTCAGCATCGCGATTTACAGTCTACGCGGAAGGTTGAAGTCGCAGTTGACAGTTCTGCGTCGATGGCTGCAGGTAGAGGTGACCGGGTCGAAAACGTAGGTGGGCTCGCATGCCTCCAGCTTGCATTTGCCGTTACTACACATCACGTATTTAGTGCAATCTTCGGGGTATGCCGACACCGCATAAGATTTTCCACCCTGTCCAAATCAAATATTACACAAAAGTATTACACAAAAAATCGCAAAATTATACGTATGAAATGTAAGTAACAGTATTAAATTTAAAGAAAACATATATAATCATGACATATATATATATATATATGTATATACTAATCGTATTTCTTAAACAAAGAGATGTTTTTATATTTTATATTTGCTTTATTACATTATTTATTATTTTATTTTACTGTTTTCTTTTTAAATTTTATATTTATTTTTTTATTTTTTTTATTTTATATTAATCTGACGGTTTTCCATATAAAACGTGTTGTAATAGATCTCTAATAATATATTCATTAAAGCATCATATTACACTATAATGTAATTCTATGGATTTAGCAGAAATAAATATTGGTGAAATATTAAGATATTAAAGCCCAAGTTGCACCAATGTTATTTGATTTCCAGCTTTAAGAGAGACTTAAAACTTTCGATTTTTTACAATAACCAATGTTATTTGGCTTCCGGCTTTAGGCTTTAAACTATAAATTAATCAACGATCAAATTATAATCTAAAGCCTAGAATCAAAGACCAAATAACATTGATTATTGTTAAAAGCCAAAAATTTTAATTTCTTATTTAAAGCTAAAATAACATTGGTGCAACCGAGCCTAAACAAAATAATAACGATAAAAGATAATGTTTTAAAAACTATATATTTTATCTTAAATGTAATTAAATTTTCTTTTAATGTTTAAAACATATGTATCTTTTTCAAAATCGTGACGCTTTAAAAAAAATTAATTAATTAATTAATTTCACACTTACTACTCTCATTCTCTTGGTACCAGAAATAAAGTGACAACAGTACATCAGAAGCAATAGAATTAGCAATCGGAACGACATCTTCGTATACAATCCTGGAATCCTATTCAGCCACGATTATATCAACGTAGTCAGAAGATTGTGGTATTTATTGCAAATCACGTGCAATCTGGTGGGAGTTTTGCTGATGCTGATCGTCACCGCGGAAACTACGTTGTTTTTAATACGGACGAGTTTGCAGATTGAGTTTATCGGAAGCTGCAAAAAATCGGTTATCTGCTCAATGCGTAAACGAAGGTCGTGTCCGGACTGTCATGATACTATATTCACGTCCACTCGCCGGACACCGTTTAATCGTCGTTTATTGCTGCTCGTTATTGCGTCGTACATAGGCATTATCGTGAGCAACGATATCACCGCTCTCGATGCATACGAGATTATTCTACAACTCGTCGATATTATCAGTCTATATGCAAAAATAATTTGCAATAATTTGTCTTATTTTTAATTATACAGATTAGTTTTTTATCTTAAATTAGATCGGTAGAGGAATTATTGATTGTAGCAATGACGTTTTCTTTTTAAATTTTATATTTATTTTTTTATTTTTTTTATTTTATATTAATCTGACGGTTTTCCATATAAAACGTGTTGTAATAGATCTCTAATAATATATTCATTAAAGCATCATATTACACTATAATGTAATTCTATGGATTTAGCAGAAATAAATATTGGTGAAATATTAAGATATTAAAGCCCAAGTTGCACCAATGTTATTTGATTTCCAGCTTTAAGAGAGACTTAAAACTTTCGATTTTTTACAATAACCAATGTTATTTGGCTTCCGGCTTTAGGCTTTAAACTATAAATTAATCAACGATCAAATTATAATCTAAAGCCTAGAATCAAAGACCAAATAACATTGATTATTGTTAAAAGCCAAAAATTTTAATTTCTTATTTAAAGCTAAAATAACATTGGTGCAACCGAGCCTAAACAAAATAATAACGATAAAAGATAATGTTTTAAAAACTATATATTTTATCTTAAATGTAATTAAATTTTCTTTTAATGTTTAAAACATATGTATCTTTTTCAAAATCGTGACGCTTTAAAAAAAATTAATTAATTAATTAATTTCACACTTACTACTCTCATTCTCTTGGTACCAGAAATAAAGTGACAACAGTACATCAGAAGCAATAGAATTAGCAATCGGAACGACATCTTCGTATACAATCCTGGAATCCTATTCAGCCACGATTATATCAACGTAGTCAGAAGATTGTGGTATTTATTGCAAATCACGTGCAATCTGGTGGGAGTTTTGCTGATGCTGATCGTCACCGCGGAAACTACGTTGTTTTTAATACGGACGAGTTTGCAGATTGAGTTTATCGGAAGCTGCAAAAAATCGGTTATCTGCTCAATGCGTAAACGAAGGTCGTGTCCGGACTGTCATGATACTATATTCACGTCCACTCGCCGGACACCGTTTAATCGTCGTTTATTGCTGCTCGTTATTGCGTCGTACATAGGCATTATCGTGAGCAACGATATCACCGCTCTCGATGCATACGAGATTATTCTACAACTCGTCGATATTATCAGTCTATATGCAAAAATAATTTGCAATAATTTGTCTTATTTTTAATTATACAGATTAGTTTTTTATCTTAAATTAGATCGGTAGAGGAATTATTGATTGTAGCAATGACAGCGATTTATGAACAATACAATGATTAATATGATATAATTTAAACTAATATCATAACTTTATTTGCGCAATACAGTAACAAATGTTCATACATTCGAATAGGATTGAAATATTGCAAAATAATCCCGCGTCTTACAATAAATTCTGATGAAATTGTAGATCAAAGTTTTCATCCACGATTAGAACATCCACTTCGGTCTCTCAGAGGATAATCGCAAGTACCTATAGCTGGATTAAATTCTGTTCCTCTGCCGCAGCTCATAATAAAGCAACCACTTGCATCGCATTGTTGATACTTGCTGCAATCGCCCGGATAAGGCAATACGTTTGCCTAAGTGAATAAATCATTCGATTAGCACCCAATAACGGCAAAGAGAAGAAGATAGGATATAAAGGAAGAATTTTATTTATAAGAGACTGTAGTAAAAGCTATGAAAATAAGTAGACATGAAAAGTAATACATTTTTTTATCTCTGAAAGATTCTTTGATAAGAGCATAATTATAGTTCAAAACAAATATCTACTTTAAATATTTAGTTTGTAATCAGGACACACAAAGCACACAAAGTTTAAAACAAACTACAAACCATATTTGACATTTTTACGCATAATTATATATTTGTATTATTATTGATATTTATCATCATTTGACAATGATGGCAAAAGACAAATGTTTATAAGCGCAATACTTGGAAACGCGCAAGAAGACATAGTTTTACTTCCGTTAAGAGCATTCGCTTTGCTTTTATATGATCAATTAACTCTCATACATTAACATTAATCTTCAATTTCTATGTTCAATGTGACTAGTATTTATAAAGTACTTACTTGTGTTTGTGTCATTACAAACGGCGTTGCGGACACTATTACATATAACAACAATGCACAAAATTTCATTTTGGATCTCGTCTTTAATCTTGTTGATCGTCGAGCTCAACTCAATTGATTTCCGTCGCCAAGAAATCAATCTTATATATATAATGGACACACGTGATTAAAGAAAATTTGATTACTATCACAAATTGCGGTTTGCTTATTACGCTTCTTGTATTTTCGTTATCTTTATGTATTTCGTTATCTTTATGCAGAAGGCTAAAGGTGATGTCAATCTTCGTTTCTCGAACATATCAGCAACAATATCTAAATAGAAGAAAGATGCCTGTGTATATATGTATGTGTGTGTGTATATATGTGTAAGTGTGTTGCAATAACATTTTCTTTGGTGCATTACGTCATTAGGAAAAATGTATGGATATTTATAGAGAATTGCAGGAAATATCTAAAATTGTTAAAAGTTGAATATTTATATACTCCTTCTGAAAAATTATATCTATTTACGCGGACTTACATCAAAACAATTGGATTTCCCAACAATTTTTATAACACGTGATCAAGACCTTCGACCAACATTGGCAATACATTAATTCCTTCTTCACAAGAAAGACATTGACTACCGGACAAAGATTTGTGACCACACACATCACATGAACTACATATTTACAGAAGTGAGCGACTACTATGGACAAGAAAGAAGAAGACAACGTTTTTAACGAGCAAAATTTGATTAATATTGCATAATAACAGAATATGATTTAGCCTCTAGTGACCTTGCTAATTTTCTCTATGTTAGTTACTCGTTTTAACATCCTTTAATTTATTATAAACTTATTATTAATTTATTAACTTAAAATATTGAATTATTAAAAGGTTTATTTAAGTTAGATTCTTTTTTTTGAAGAATTATTAGAGATAAATATATCCAAAAAATTAAAATTAATTTTTAAAGATTGAATATAAGTTCGTCTTAAATTTTTATAATTATCAAAAGAAAAAATAGATAAAATATATTAAGAATAAAATTTGTCTAATTATTATAGAAAGTGATTTACTAGGTTGGGCTTCAGCTTCAGCTCATCTGGTTCATAAAATAAAAGTATATATTTGTAAAAATTTGAAATATAATTTGTTTAATAGACTAAAGTATTGATATTAAGGACAGGATCTATAAAAGAGAGAGATATACTTATATAAAAATAAAAGATAATAAAACAATTACTCTTTTCTAAGTTTATTAGGAATAGAGAATAACTAATGCAAATTAGAAAATATTGTTCAGATTAAACAAAGATTTTATATAATAAATTCTATATATAATATTATAGGATTATTTGTGTGCTAGTGTAAAATTCAATTAAATTAGTCTCCATAAATATAAGAGTATTTAAGTTTAATATTACGAAAAATAAAGATAACGATTTTAAATCCTAGAATATCTTTATTAGTAAAATAAATATGGAAAGAAATTTTGTTTAAATTTTTGTTAGTTTCTAGTGAATTTAATAATCCTGGTTAATAAAAAAAATAAATGTAATATTATTATTAGAGTGATAATAATGATAAAATAAAGAATTGAATAAAATCGATATTTAATGTTGCATTATTAATTGAAAATTCTCAAATTCATTGAACTGTTACCAATATAGGATTAGGGATAGGTCACCAATATATAGGATTGTTGATACTAAATTAGTAATTACACAGAATGCGCAGTAAAACGATCGAATCACAGATTCGAGTGATTAACATAGCGATAAGCTCCGTGATATATCCATCGTTAAATAAATAATAAATCTATATTTTAAATTATTAGAGAGAGAAAGAGAAACAAGAAGGGGTAGAGAAAGAGAGTAAGAAAGAAAGAGGGACAGAGAGAAAAGAGAGGATTGGGGAGAGAGAGAGAGAGAGAGAGTTATTAACAGATTTATATACAAAGAATATTATATTATAAAATTTATATATATAATTTATTTGTACACAAATAGTTGACTCGTGAAAAACAAGATGAAATATGTTTATGTTTTCGGCGAAAATTTCTCTTTTCTTCCAAAGCGGCATCTAGATATTATCCTTTCACGCAGTAACCGGTATGGATGAGGTGATTCGGAAGTAGTTACCGGCACTCTTGCGAAGCGACGTAATTTCAGAGACAACAAGACTAGATTTTGGAAAAGACCAAATGCACTACTAGTTGCCCAGTACAAACTCAGGCACTGGAAAAAAATATTTAGATAATTATTTATTTGCAATGTAATTCAACTATTCTTGTATTTTTTCGTTACTTACCGATGGTACATACATAGCGATGGGGATCATAACTATCGCAGCAATTCTGAAGAAATAAGTCAAATATTGCTTCAATTTTGTTAACTCTTTTACCCTATTCATATAATTTATCTGTAATAATATAAAATTAATATTATAGAAATAAATTCTTAGAGTAGTTGATTTTTTTTAAATTTCCGTGATGATATTCCAATCAATTATTAGAAAAACTTACTTCTATAATAGCTAAATTAAATAATCCCAATGCTATAGGAAGTACAAAAGGATCTGCTATGGTTAAGTTTGTAATCCAAAGAAATCCATCAGTTGTAAATTCCTGATAAGTGGTATAAGCATCTAATTGGAAAAATATGTACAGAATATATTAATTCTTCTGTTTTATTCAAGCATTGCCATACGTACCAGCATCCTGTTTAGGTAGTATATAACATAAATTTCTAATGGACATTGATAATGATATCCATAAAGGTATCTGCACTAATACCAATATGCTAGCTTTAGCTGGATGACAATTTTCTCGAACAATCAATTTATTCCATTGTTTCTTCATCTATAATAAAAATGATAAATATTTATTATATTAAAGATCAAATATAGTAACCAAGTTTTATTGCTATTGTTAATTTGCAAACTTGAATTAAACTAGAGACAAAACATTACCTACAGAGTGATTGTACAAACGCCTAGCATATTCTTTGGACCAATTATATTTATGTATCCCATAATTTGTCTCTATTTTCATTTCTTTAACTATTTCATCCATTTCAGACTTAAGATTTTCCAATTTCGCAAATATATATTGCTGAAAAAAAAAATTATTATAGCTATCATAAGAAAAAATTGTATTTTATTTTGAGATAATGTTTAATAATAAAATAAAGTAAAATAAAATAAAAAACTAATCAAACAGTTTTCAAAGTAAATTTATATAAAATAGAAAATAATAAAAAAAAAATACTTATTAGTTATATAATTAGTCTTGAACTGTTTCTCGTCATATCTTCTATATATTCAAATAATGATAGATGTATCAAAATTACAGAACAATATATATATATAATAATGAATATCATAAATCTACCTGATACAAAGATAGCGGCAATGTTATCGCTGTCCTCGTCATAATAGTGGTAAGTACAATAACTGACCACCATGGCAAACCTGTATAGTCATGCATCCATAATAATGAATCTTGTGTGAATTTAACAAGTGCACTCTCTGATAATGTTCTGAAGATGCCACTGAATTGCATTGGAACTTGACTTTCAGCGATAGAATCAACATTAACACTTGAAAAATGTCTAATACTGTTATAATGCTGACTACTGTAATAATTTTTACATCCTATGCGTTTCTCTTTGTCATTATGCGAAATTACATGGAAAATCATTTGAGGATAAGACACATAGTGAAAATTATTCTGTACTCTTGAACCATATTGCCTAATTATGATATTATTTAATGACAACTGTTGATTAAGAAAAATTAAATCTTGAGTAACATTTGTACAAGATGTACTGTAATTATTATATACAGTATGAGATAATGTATTTGATAATACATTAAAATTAGTGGCATTAATGCTGATCCGTTTAAACTGTCTCAAAAAGACATTTTGTAACTTTGTTAAGTGCATGGTAAACATTAGTAGGAGCAAGTAGTAACTCAAAAAAACATTAAATTAAACGTATGCATCAATATGAGACCTATTTATTGTACACTGTAGAATTTTATTTTTATGATACTCGCACATTTACTGATAATTTAAGATATATACAACTATATGCGAAATTTTTTTCGCGCAATTTTTAGACAGTGTCAAACTATCGTAACATAAAAAGGTTATATGTTATAACCTAATAGTAGTGTCTAATAGCAGAAAGAAGCCTGAGAGGGGTCACGCCGCTATTTTTCATAAGGCGCTTTTTCTAGCTGGTACAGTAGTGTCAACTAGATCCATTTTAAAGCTGGCGGAACTACATAGCCAGATTACATTTCGGTGCCATGGTAAAACAACCGGTTGATGCATGTACGTGCTAGATCGATAATTGTGGATCAAAATTGCGGAGAAATATTATGGATTTATTAATGTTTTATTAGCTGCGCGTGGTATATGCGCACCACACACACACACACACACACACACACACACATGTGACATAAAATTAATTTTCTTAAATTAATTTTCCCAATAATTTTTTCCCTAATTTTTAAATATAAAACATGTAAAAGATATTCACAATAAATTGTTTTTACATTTTTCTTATTCTTGAAAGAAAATTATCAAGCATTTTAAGGGGACATACCCATTTGAAATTTCGAAAAATGAATACATTTTTTAGATTTTTTTATAGCGCGACTTGATAAAAATTTTTAATTTTTTTACAATATTAATACAATATTATTAACTACTTAAATAAAAAAGTTTAGCTTAAAAAAAATTTTTTTTAAAGTTGTGCGAATATTTGCAGATTTATGTTTTTATCGAAAGCGAGAGCGAGAACGAATAAAGAGCAAACGAGCGATTTTTATTATAGTTGAATATGTAATCAAAATTCTTATTATTAGTTTAGTTAAAAATTATTTGATTTATGTTGTGTTTGATATCATTTTAATTGCAAAAATCTCATTAATCCATTAAAATTATTATCAAACCGATAAAATACAAGTAAGAATCTCTCTTAAAGTAAGAATCGAAGTGAAATCTAAATTATAAATTATCGTTTTGTTGCGATTCTTACGAATAATAACTATTTTCCTATCGATACTTATGCTGCGATCCGATATTCGCTAGCAGTATTAAAAATCTATAGTGTACGTGATGTAAACTATAGATTTTTAGTACTGGCAGCAAATATGGAAACGCAGCCTTGAGTAAAGATATTTTGTCCAATGCTTTATCGTTTGACTTGTCGACGATTTAAATATGATTTGGATTGAGAACGCGCAATAAAATAGTCGAATTGCAAGTCCGAGTAATTAACATAATGATAAGCTCTGTAATATATATAGATATTAATCGTTTACTAAATAATTGATCTATAATTTAAAATACTTGTATAATTTAATATTCAGCGTGTATATACGTCATAATAATTTTGGTTGGGAATTATAAATAACATGGTATGCGGCCTTGGCAGCGTAAACAATAGCGCGCTATTGTTTATATGTTACGGCCTTGTTATTATTTGTATGGCGATACTTGAATAGTATTGTAATAGTGGGAGAGACGATCTGTCGAATTCCTTTCCCCCTCTCCCACTTCTTATTTCTTATCATTCGTACGAAGACATTTAAACAGTGATATAATAGTTCGAGACGCTCCGTCAAATTTCTTTTCTAAATGTGATCGCGACAAATATCGGGAAATAATATAATATAATTAATAATTAATTATCTCTCTCTCTTATCGTTTGACTTTTCGACGATTTAAATATAATTCGGATTGAAAACGCGCAATAAAATAGTCGAATCGCAGGTCTGAGTAATTAACATAACAATAAGTTTTGTGATATATTAATAGTTAAATTAAATAATTGATCTAAAATTTAAAATACTTGTAATAATTTAATATTCCGCCTGTATATTCGTCATAGTATGTAAAATATTTCGGCACCAAATTATTAATAACATGGTTTTTGGCCTCGGCGGCGTAAACAATAGCGCGCTAATGTTTACGTGCTTCGGTCTTGTTATCATTCGCACGCCGACACTCGAACAGTAAAGTAGTAGTGCGAAACGCTTCGTATCTTGTCAAATTTCTTTTCTAAACGTGATCGTTCTAAAGGTTTACTGTGAAGGGGAAACCAAATACCCAGCGTCGTTGGTGCTGTCATTGTGTCGTGAATGATGGAATTATTAGAGTTATTAGTAGTGTTTTTTTTTCAAAATTTATAAAATTGTTTTATTAATCTGTTTATTATTATATTCATCGAATATAAAATTCAATGCGTACAATAAATTTTTTTAAATATTAATTATTTTGGGCGCCGTTACAATTTGGATCTTTTATTTGTATGTTACAGATCAACATAGCGACCCTGACATTCTGAGAGGAGGAGAAGGCCTAGGAGAGGCATCCTGCACCGGCGGAGCAACCCTAAGGTGAGTATTTATTATTTGTATATCAGTTGTTAAAAATCGCGTACGCGCATTAATTCGGTCTTTTTATTTATATGTAATTATTGTATATATATTATAATTGTATTAATAATATTATAAATTATAATTCCCTTTTTTTGTAAATTACACGAAAATTTACCGAAAGAACATATATAATGACAATATAATTGAAATTCTTCTAAATTAATATATTTGTTAAATATCAGTTTCTATATTATTTTTTTGAGATATTTATAAATTTAAGAGCTTTGTGTTTTTATACCAAACAATTATTGATAAATTCGGAAAATTATATTTCAAACTTTATATATATATCACGAATACCGCTAATTCTTCTAATATTTAATAGAAAAATTATTGAATAAAATTGTGAAGACTCGATGTTAAGCTAACGATTAAATATTAGCCTTTCGTTCACGAAATTTGACGGCTGCTTCCGACATTGCAGAATCGCGAATAAATTATTTCGAATTTCATGATTTAATTTTGATTTGATTGATATTTATGAATTTCGTGTCGGAATTAAATATTCATCAAATTAATTAATTAGCTACATTGCGAAAACACCGCGTTCTTTCCATCTTCTTGGACGCGATTGCTGTCATAGCTAAGGGGCCTTATCGCTGTCCCTCTCGTCAGATAAACGTTAGTAAAGTTGCGTGGTTCGTACCGATCTTTTTCTTCGTTAAAAGTGTTCTTTTATCATTATTAATATTAGTATTATTTTTGTGTTAATGCTGAAAAGACTTAATAGTAGATTGGACATGAATATAACTACCGTGTATAGATAAATTTCCATTTTTCAAGAAAATTTAAATTGCAATCAATTTGCCCGTTTCTATTGACTTTTTTTGATACAAAAATTATGGTTACGAACGAATGTATTTTATTGCTTAATTTTTAATTAATATAATTTTTGTTTTTTCTCTTTTACAAAATATTTCTGGGCACTGAGGATATTAACATTAGGTTCTTTTAAGAAATTATTTGCAGGTATTGGACATCCCGCCATTTTAGGAGAATTCTGGATAGTTTTTAGATATACTATTCTATAGATATAATAAAATACATGCGCAAATTAACATATTATTTCAAAAAATTTTTATACTGTTTTTGAGTATTATGTTACAAAATATTATGTATGAATGAAACATAAAATGTGCAGACACTTAAAAATTTCGAGACAAATCGAATGGGTACCCCGATATCAGTAAAATATCAACAAATTAATTTATTTAAAAGCTATAGAAAAATAGCTTAGAATTAATTATTTGAAATTATATCAATTTATTTTATCTTGCAATTTTTAAAATTTTGCTATTATTGGGTTCGATTTTTCTCGAACAGTTGGTACCCGAGAATTATTTGTATTCGCACATTTAATACTAACTACAATAATGATGCACGTATTTTATTATCCATAAATATAATCGTTCGTAACCACATTTTCATAAAATTGTTATATCCATTTATTTATTTTTCAATATTAGAAATATATTTCTTAATAATGGAAGAACACATTTTCTCGCGGAAGTCTTAATCTAAATTGAAGATAATGACAGTGGTAACTGTCATTGATTTGTTACCGAAATCATTGCTATTGGGAGCAGTCCGGAAGATCCGGGATTCGTTCCCTCCTACAGCGGGGTCCTTGATATTTAACGGATCACTTAACTTTTCTTTGCGGGTTGATCTTGCGGGGACCGATGTAGAAGCAAGAAGTTGATCGTTCTCCACTTTTAGGATCGTTCTTGTCTTCGTCGGATATTAACCGGCGTGTTATCTGGCGGAGGGACCTTGACCTGGTCAAATCGTTGAGCCAGTTATCCTCCACTGAACGCGGCGATAACGCGCACTTTTTTTATACGGTATTTTAAGACTTATATAGTTTTATCTTGTTTAGTCAATTCTTCGCGAAACGGTACATATATTTTATTCTCAATCGCAATATTTAATTTAATTTAATTTAATAAAATCACGCATTTGAAAATAAATCGGACATCAGATTTTATATTCAAATTGTATACAAATGTCCTATATTATAGAAGTCCTATATTATAAGAAGCACTCCAAATGTCCGTCGAAACATTTTTTTAGTATGTAGTAATTATATCGTTCCTCCGATTGCGCATGCACATTGGAATCGCGAATATTACGGCTATCGACGATTTATTTATTCGTCGCGTTTTATTCACAAATTTTAAATCACGATTTATCTTGTGATTTAATCGTTGATTTACATCGAAGCTTCGTCTATCTTTTCTCGGATATTTTCTTTGAAACTCTACGCAAAATGCGCCAGTCTAACAAAAAGTACTTTTTTCTTCTTAATTCAAAAATGATCGATGAATTTATTAACAACTCTTTTGATCAAAATCATTTGCATTATATAAACTTAATATGCATTTTGGATTTTGAAATATATATTTTATATATATTTTTATAATATATTTTGTATAATATATTTTTAAAGTTTTTGTAATATATTTTGTAGTTATACATTATAAATTTGTAATTATCTATTATATACACTTTATATAATTCTTCATGTATTATATTTTTTATTTGATATATTTGTAAAACCTGTTTATTAAAAGAAACCTATATATTAAAAAAAATTAAAATAAAAATATTTCCTCCTTGATGGTATCTCCACCTTAGCGAAGGCATTTGCCGGGTGAGGAGGTTTGTGTGCTCTAACGAACCTGAGAGCTATGCCGGCGGTAATGTATAGC